AAGACTCTTATCTTTCCCTCTGGGCTGTACAGTTGAACAAGTCCTATTTGATGGGCAGTTACTCCTCAGCCCCTTGGGCACCAGCCCTGGGAAAAGGGGCTCCCAGGTAAAGCAGGGAGGAAGGAGGCTGAGGAGAAGTGGGGCATCAAGCCTGGCAGGAGGAGGGGGCTCTCTAAGAAGATGGCATGCCTGAGGGCTCCAGCCCCCAACACTCCAGCCCATCCCCTTCCAACATGCAGAGTCCTTACCCTCCAGGTGTCGGCCTCTGAGGGGTGCCCACGATAGCCCCAGGTCCCTTATGTTGTCTGTCTGTTATCTCATGTTGTCTGTCTCATGTTGTCTTCTGAAGCTAAGGATGTTTAACTTAGTGAAATTTGAAGGTACTAGTGGAGGGGCCGCTCCCCAGGGGAGTATTGTCTCCAGCCCCGCTCACTGCCAGACCTCTTTTTTCTTGCCTTTTCTTGTAACAACAGTTCCCGGAGCTGAGGGAAATTGATTGTTAAGTGAAACTCTCTTATAATTGCCTCTGAAATGCCCGCTGTTATCATGATGGACTTGGCTATGAGCCTACTGTGGTTCCCTCCAATGCCATGACCAAGATGGGGAGACGTCGCAGGATAGGCAAGGCATTGTCAGTGACTTCATAGCAGTAGCTCCTCTTGGGCAGCCCTCACCCCTCAAGAAGTGCTAAAGAAGAGAGACACACATCTGGGGCCTCCCACCTGCCAGACTCATCATAGGCCTCCACTCAGGTACGGAGACATCCTGACCTTGACTTAGCAGACATTCATTGTACACCTACTGGATGCCATGGCCAGGTGACTGTAAACTTGAGAGCCACTACATACTACCCCTCACCAAACTCAGTGTTCAAGGGGAAGATAGACACAAGTTTCCCTGAGTGCTATGATGAGGACAAGTGGGGGCCTGGCAGAGGTTAAAGGATGAGAGAGTGAACCAGGCCAGAGGAGTCTGGATGGGAGTGGATAGGAGGGGGTAGCATGTGCAGGAGCCTGACAGCAGGAAGATCAGGGACCGCAGGTGGCTCCAAGAGCAGAATTCAGAGTCCAAGAAGAGAGCAGCTCCCCGGGGAACCAGCACTCCGGGTCAGGGCTAGGAATGAGCACATCTTTCCCAGACAATCAGGCACCCCAGAGACAAGACCATGCTGTGACTCCAGTTTGACCCCTGCTGTGCTGGGCATCATGGTAGACTCTCCCCTCACCTCTGGGCCTGTTTCCTTTTCCATCCTGCCTGCCCAGGCCCATCAGGAAGACACGGGAAAGGGTTATTTTTTCAGTGGGAGGGAAGTGCTAGGAGGATGAAACTTGGAGCAGAGTAAGCATGGCCTTACAGCCATGCCTGAACAGATCTGGGGTCTATGAGGAACCCATACAGGAACCTAAGGCTCTGAGTACCTGGCCTGGACCAGGAAGGTGGGGCTAAGTTCAGAAAGGTCCCTGCCTGAGGACATACCCTGCCTGGCAAAGGAGAGGGGGAGCCCATGGGTTGCACAAGGGCAAAAGGAAGTTTTCAGAGAGGATATCACAGTATGTATCAGTGGCCCAGTCTGAGAGGGCTGACCTGGCAGAAAGAACAAATAAGAGAGAAAGTCCCAGATGTGGGCAAAAGTCTACAGGAGGAAATCCCACTGGTCAGGCTGCCTAAAAGCAGCTGTTGACATTGAAGGAAAGGGATTGCCACGAACCTACCCACCCTCTTAGTGGGTGCAGTCACTATCTCCAATTCACAGAGCAATGAAGGCCAGAGAGGTGAAGCCACTGCTTGAAGAAGCCACTTTGAACCCAGGCCAGGGCTTCAGGCTGTGATCTCCACTCAAGGCCCCTGGTGCATACTGTGGGTGGTCCTGGGCCTCTCACCTCTCATCCTCAGCCTAACAGGACCTTGGGTAATTGTAGTCTACCCCCTCCACCCCAACCAGCTGCCTGGCCCTTCCTCCCACACCAACGAGCCTGCCTGTTTAGCAGTTTCCACACGTCCAGCGCCCGGGGATGGACTGATTGATCTGTAACACCGAAAAAATAATAATGGCTTGATCGTTACTGAGGATTAAAAGTAATCCTTTCACTGTGGCTATTGCAACTCCGTTATTCACGAGTCAGCGGGCCGACCCAGGCCTTTGAGCCCACGGGACTCCATGAGCTTCAAGGAGGCTTGGGGCTAGGGCCCTCCCTCTCTGGGTCTCCCTTGCCTTTTCTTCTAGGTTTTTGGAAACAGAGGGGCCTATGGCCTGTGGCCTGCATGTTCTTGTAGACTTTGACTCTCACCCTGAGAGAGTGAAGAAGCTGGCATTTCCTGGCCAGGGGTGGATGTAGAGATGAAAGGGTCAGTAGCCTGCTTTGGAGATTTTTATATGAGTGTCAATTTGGTGTCTGAAGTCCCATCTACCCTGTGGTTTTTCTATGGCTAGAATTTGACCCACTCTGACCCAACTTCATCCATATGAAAGGCAGTGGCCTCCACAGACACTTACAGAGACTCCAGGCCCACTCTTAGGTCCCTGGGAAGATAATGGGCCACTGGGTAAGGAAAGAGGGGACACAGTGATTGTTCAAGTGTCACCCCTTAAATGCATCTTCAGGGGCGGCCTCTTCATGCTTTACGGTTCTTCCAGGCCAAGTGCTGAGCTTGGTACTGGTACATAGTAGGCATTCAGTTAATAGTAGTGATAAACGTTGTTAACTAGACATGCTGCACTATAATGTCCTCCATAGAAGGACACTGCAGGCTTGTGAACTGGGGACTTCATCCATCCCTGGAGTTTGGGGTCTGGAGAGTATTTTTTTATTTAGGCCAAGAGGAAGCCCCAAAATGGAAATGAAAGATAGGAGTCAGGCACACTCAAAGATAGGAGTCAGGTCCCTACAGGACCTCAAGAAAGCATTATTACCTTCCACATGCAGAGTAATAAGTGGGGACAGGGGACAGCCACACAATCACATTCTAAGATGAGGTTTCAGGTATTAAGCAGGGAATAGATACAGAAGGACAAAAGAGGACATAGGTTCCTGGTGCAGGACAGAGCCTGAACCAATGGGTGAATAGTAGGTAGTTTGATGATGTCAGATGTGGAAGGTGGGAGGCAGAGGTTCCCAGGTGGCTAGCTCTGTTTCAAGAGGAGGTGGTTGGAGTTCAGATGCATTGATTGAGTATCATCCCAAAGAAATGCTCGGGTGAGGAGCAGGATTGGAGGCAAGTTATGTGAGGCCTGTGGCCCCTGAAGCCCCAAGATGTGAGACTGGGTTAGGGGGTCAGAGGATAGTATAAGTCTCACCCAAGCAGGTCCTGCAGAAAAAGTGGGAAGAGGACAGGAGAAGGAGGTAGAGGCCAGGAGAGGATCAGCACTGTGAGATGAGGGGCTTTGACTCAAGAAGAACTTTCTTACTCTGTTCCCAGACGCCAGCCTAATAGCCTTCGATGCTCTTGGCCTGAGGAAGAGAGGGAGCCAGGCCCAGCAGAAATGGGCATGACTCTGACAGCCCCTCACATGGCTCCAGGAGAGTGGTAGCCTCAGTTCCACATGAGGCTCCCACACTCCCCCCTGCCCCACTGTTCCACGCTTCAAAGAAGAAAAAGCTGGTCTCCCATTTTTCCCTAACAGGCAGCTGTCAGGCTTTATTAGACCCTCTCTCTAGGGCCCGCGTGCCACATCAGGCCTGAATTGATGGATGGGGATGAGGTGTCTTGAATAACAAGGGACCAGGGCCTTCTGAGGATTGCTGGAGGCCTGGAAGCAAGAATGTACTCCACCCAGAGGATGAGTGGGGTAGGGTGAGGGCACAGCTTCTTTGGGCATGGTAGGCCCCGCAGAGGGTGGCCTTTGGACCTTAGTTATGGGCTGAGCAAGGTGGATGTGATGATGAGAGCTGGCCTAAGGCCACAGCCTGACCCAGGCTCTCTGTGTGATCCTATGCGGTTTACTGGCTAGTCCATGCTTGGGTATCCTCATCTGAGGAGAAGCCATAATGGCACCATGTCAGACACATTGTGAATAGTAACAGATGAACATGTGTCATGGCTGCAGGAGGGCGGAGCATGTGGTGAGTGGCCAGCTCATGATATTGATTGGAATTAGGATTAACAAGACATCAGTGAACTCAGCTCTATAGGAAACCTCAGAGGCCAGACTCAGTTCCATCCTTGGGAGCCTCAAGACTTCCTGAGGGATAGGATCCATGGTGCCCAGAGAGTGGCCAGGTTCTGGTGCCTCCTGTACAAGCCTTTCTGATATGCTGAGTTCCCACAGCACTAAGCCTCCTGCTCCTAGCTACTCCTGCTCTAGTGATTCTGCCTGTTTGTGTCAGGGTCTCCAGACTAATCTGTGAAATACAGGGCTGTATCTGCCACATCTCCACGCGTCAGCATAATCTGGAACTGAGCGTGGCCAGTGACAGGTGTGGCACAGACGGGCACACAGCTGTGCTCTCAGGGTCACTTTGCTCCCAGGCATAGAAACCGCTGGAACCAGCACAAAGGATGGGATAGGCTCTCATGGATAGAGGGCTTGACACCCCGTGAGAGGGGGCTCAGGAAGCTTGAGAGAAGGCCAGTGGGCCTGGGTGAGCAGAGATGGGCTATGGGCCTGGGCATGCTGAAGTAAAGGTGCACCTGAGACACTGTCACTTGTGGGGTTCAGCCTCAACTGGGGAGGCCAACCCTCATGTAGGTGGCATGGAGTACTCTCAGGCTTCCACAGGCCTGAATGCTCCAGACATCCTCCAGGCAGGAGACACTGCTGGGCTGAAGAGCGGGGAGTCTCACTGAGAAGCCACTCTGGGCATTCTGTACAAGCATCTCTTCTCCTGTGGAAGTCAGCAGTGGCCAGGGAGGTTCCCTCACAGCTAGCTGAGCTGAGGAATCTCTGAGGGTCTGGTGGGATGAGGGAAAAGGAAGCCCTGAGCTGTCTGGCTTCAGGGAGTGTTGGACATGGAGCAGGCAGCCCACCTCAGCCTCTAACTTCCCTGTCCTCTGTCCCTCAGAGACTGGCAGATGCTGCTGAGAACTTCCAGAAAGCCCACCGCTGGCAGGACAACATCAAGGTAAGAACCACAGCATCCTCACTAACATGTGGGGTATACCACCCCCAGTAAGGTGAAGGTGAAGGCCAGGGAGTGTGTTCTCCAGACATACTGGGGATGGTGCATTTAGGGGTAGTAGAAGATTATATCAAAAAATCCCAGGCTCCCCCTCAGTTCTGGACCATGCACAACTGATATGAGCTACCATCTCACTCCAGAGGAGTCATTGGACAGCCTGTGAGTAGACAGGATGCTCCAAAGTGACCTTCCCCAAAAATGGTGCCCCAATTCTTGGAAAGCCCCTGAGTCAAAGAGATCTCTTGATTTTAGGACTCATCAGAGACTTAAAAGCAGTAGGTAACATGGAAAAGATGCTGAGAGAAGGTGGTATGTGTAACTCCTTCCCCACCCTGAACAGCAGCCTTCCTCCCAAAAGGCCCTTAGGCTGGGCTCAGGAAACAAAGCTGTCAGTCACAAAAGCTTCTCCTTCCATCATGAGAGCTCTGAAGGGGCTCAGATTCCTTGGAGTGGAATGAGAGGCATCGGAAGCAGAGGGCCCAGGGTGCAGGAGGGGGAAGGGCGACCTTGGCAACCAATTTGTGACTGGGACTGGACACACCTGTCCCCTTTCTGTCAGGCCAATGTCAGGATTCCCACCTCAGTTCCATGGGTGATAGAACCCTCAGGGACCAGACCAGTTGGCAGGGCTCCTTACATCTAGGCTGTCTCCTGGTGGTCTCCTTGCTAAACACAGGGAAGGGTGGTCTGCCCCGGGAACCAAGAACCAGTAAGGAGGATAGGATGGGCCAAGCACATTCAGGTCAGGCCCATCTGCCCCAGGGATAAGGTCATGCTATTATCCCTACTTACCAAATGAAAAACTGGACAGAGTGGTTAGACCTACCTGAGGTTACCTGTTGGTGGCAGAGATTCATAGTTGGCTATCAGGTACCAGGGGGCTCATACCTATGATCTAGGCTTCTAAACCTATTGCTTGTTCCCCATCCTCCCAGACCACCCTGAGCCTGCCCTGCCTTGCCCACCCAGTAACTTTCTTCCTTTCCTGCCTGGTGGGTGCTGAGTGCTGCACTCAGAGTTCACATGGGGTTGGACACAACAGAGGATCAGGGGTAGGGATCAAACCCAAGGCCTCATGCATGCTAGGCAAGCACTCTACCCCTGAGCTACACCTCCTAGTCCCAGGTGACTTTTTAAGATGAACAAACAAATAAGCTAGTGACTACCTGAACCAGTCCCCCTCCCCAGGAGTCTGAGGACTGACCCTCCTTTCCCTCCCCATCACTCAGCCCCTTGATCAGAAATGTGCATGGCAGCAGCCATTGGGTCTCACTCACCACTTAGACCAAGCTGTCACCTCTAGATAACCCCTGTGTGACACCTCTACCTGCAAGACCCAGCCCTGAGCCTGTATTCAAGGGCCAAGGATCTGGCAGCTCCTGCCTCCCTTACCAGCCTTGCTACCTGTTCCCCTCATCCTATGTCCTACCACACCAAACACTTCACTCCAAGTCCCTTCCTGGTCCTGAGCCTTTGCTGATCTTTGCCTAGAAGGCCCTCCATTTCTCCTGGAAGCCCAGCTTATCTGTCCCTTCCTTGTAAAGCTGCTTTCTCTCCCCAGCCCATCAGCCACTCTGTCCTCTATGCATCTAGGACCTTCTGCTCCTGCTCAGTCCCTCCTTTGTTTCCAACCATCAGATTCTTCCCCTCCTTCACAGACAGACTTGTGGATCAGGCACAGGAGTTAGGGAATAAGGGAATGAAAAGACCTGCCCTCTGTCCAGCTTTCTCTACTTCCAAGTCCTAAATGGGGACAAAGAGGTTGCCATGGCTCCAAACACATTTTCTCTTTTCAATTCTGCAGAAAACCCAAAATTTCCTTAAGTTGTTCTGCCAGATCCTTGGCCCCTAAATTTCAGCCACTCCCTGAGGCAAGAACAGCTTATTCCAGGTCAGTGTGAACACACAAGAGGCCTATCAAGAAGGAAGGCTGGGGCTTAGGGACACCCAGGAGGTGCTGAGAGATGCTGTTCAAAGACCCACTTTCACAGCAATGGCTTCATTGTCCCTTTTTGTCCAAGAACTGGCTCACATTGGTATTATCAGCTCAGCCATAGCTTGGTCACCAAGCTAGAGGTGCCATGTCGATGATGGCATGGATGCATCTTTTGCCATACCCACCCTTGGCCCCTGGTTGCTTCTGTCCTGAGATGAGGCAAGAGTGGGCTCTGGATGGCTCCTTTCTCCCCAGCTTTACCAGAGGTGCCATAGCTCTAGGTATGACCACAGGCAGCACTGACCACAAGGCCAGCAGGCCCTTGTTTGCCTGATGCTGCCCACCCTCCTCCCACAGTCCATCAGTGTGCCTGCCAGCCTGTCCCTCCCACGGCCAGAGATGCTCAGGTAGGGGGTTCTAGTCATGCCTTCCTTACTGGCTTCAGGGTCACTGCTCTTCCCAGGAAGCCCTACAGCTGCCATGCCTGCCAGGCTGTAAGGCATTAGTGCTAATGTAGGCCCATTAGCCAATAGTCTGACCAGCGGGGCCCAGACTGCCAAGGAGCGCTGGCAGCGGAGCTACAGGCAGAAGCTGCCCACCCCAGGGGGTGCATGGACTGAGGCTGGAGAAGGTGTGGTGTTCTGTTCCTTACAGGCAAGCCATCAACTCCTGAAACTATATCTTCTCCAATGACCTTCAAGAGGTGACAAAGAGCCATGTTCCTCCCTTGCACTCGGGAGAGACACCTGGCCTGATCCATATTTCCACTTCAAGAACAGACCCTTTCCCCAAGCCAGACCTTCTCAAGGATGCTCTTATCCTTACTGCAAAAGGCAAGACCTAGCCCCCCTCTTTCCAGCCCAAGCCTTAGGATTGGCCTCCACTGCCCACAGTCCTCCCCCATTTGAAGCCTCCAGAGATGGTACCAAATTCAGTACTCAGACTAGGGTCTCACTGGGCTCATCTGTCTGTCCCACTCACAGTTCCTCTAGGGCAGGAGCAGTTGAACCTGACTCAGTGCCATCCACTACCTGTCCATGCTGCCTGTGTCCCCCACCAGGTGTTCCACTGACACTGATGAGGAATGGTTTTCTTACCTCTGAGATGAGGAGGGTATGCCGTTTGGGGCAGAAGGAATGCTCTGCTTATGGAACCAGCCTGGAATTCACTGTATAGTTCACTCCACAATCAGGAGAGTGGCCTTCCCTGTGTCAATAGCACATAGCAGGACTACGTGCAGACCTCTGAGGAGCAGATAATAATGGTATAATACATCAGCCTACACACAACCCCACTGACTCCAGTCAGGGACTTAGGGGACACTGGAGTCTTCAGGATCAGAGCTGAGAGGAGATCAAGAGGACAATGTCAGAACATAAAAAATGCTCTATACCCCTTCCTAGTCCCAGGCCATGACCCCACATATAACTGGTCATGGTAGAGGCAGAGAAACTGTAGCCACAGCCCTGGCCAGGCCAGACCCTTGGACAGTAGGGAAACTGTGGCCCTGATTAGCAAGCAGCACATCCCATGGCCCCTCAGACAGGCAGCAGGTGCTCTAGTACCCATAACATTTAGGGCAGATGAAGATAGGCCACCTGCTGGACCATGCCTGGTGCCAGTGCCACACTATGCCAGCAGTGTGTGCCACTTAACCTCCCCCACTCCAGAAGAGAGCTGGTCCAGGGTATGAGTGGGGAAGGAGGAGAGGCCACTGGCCCCATGGCCTCAGTGCCAACATCAGAACCTACAATGAAACCGTGCTCTGGGATTTTAAATGAAAAGAACAGCCGTGCCCTAGGGAGTCTAATGTGGTCGATACAGCCCTGCCTGAGGGCATCATGGTAAAGATGGCTTTGCCTGAGGAATCTAGATGGAGGGCTGTGATGGCAGGGCCAGGCCAGAAGAGTCGACTGGATAGGACAGGTGGCCTCTCCAGCCTGGGGTTCTGACCTACCATAGGGCCCACTGCCCGCCTCCCTGCCAAGCTAGCGACAGACGGCTCTCTCAGAAAACAGTCCACTTGGCTGGACTGAGCTGGCAGTTAGCCAGGGCAGGAAGACCAAGTGTCCTCACTGGGGCAGCTGGGTGGAAGGCCTAGGCCCTGCACTGAAGGCTGGTAGGCAGGCAGCAGTCATGTCTGGCCAACCTCAGCAGCCACCTTCCAGAGCACCAAACCCAATGACAATTGCTATTCCCCCACTTGTCCCAGGCTTTCTTCCTCGCCCTGTGTCCCAGCTGCCAACATTCCTGGTGCCTGCTTGGGCTCAGCTCCTGCTCAAGAGCAGATGTGTCATATACTCACATGTACCCATACCTGTCATCTATGTACACAGGTTCATGTTGGGGAATGAAGTGTGTCACCTGGAAGGGGGGTGATTCCCCCACTCCTTGCCTAGTTTGAGCAGAATGACCCCTAAAAATATCAGATGGGTGTGTAAGCAGTGTGGACCTCAGATATTAAGGATATCTGTTTCACTCCATCCAGGGGTCTTTATACACTCAGCCCATCCTGTGGGCTGTGGAGTGGCACAAGGGGGCCTCTGTGGGTAGGGTCAGCCCTGCCCCCTGGACAGCTCTGCAGTTCCTGGTCTGCTTTGTATCCTCAGAGGAGGCATCATCATCCTGACTTAGAAATGGGAAATGGAGACCTTATAGAAGCTATATGATTTAACCAGGCACCTCATAGGTGAGATGGGTGACTCCTGAGAGTCCTTGTGGGGCTACTAGCACAAGCCTACTGGCTGGGTCCTGGCTTTACCTTAGTCTTTATTCACTGCTCAGAGCTCACATGTGTCCCACTCAGAATTTGAACCCAGGACCCTGTGCCAAGGACCCTGCCCTCATTCATTAAATAGCACTTCTTCCTTGTTGTGAAATCTAGAAAGGGAGTCACTAATGTGGCCATTCAGGTTCTGTACAGACCAAGGCAGATAGAGTCTTTCCCCGGGCCCCTCCTGCCACACCCCCAGCTCCTATCACATCAAGCGTAGTAGTCACAGCTATGTTTATAGTGCATTTTCATGCGTGACCTTGCCTGCCATCAAAGCAGGAGAGATGGGAGGAGTCCTCCCCATATGCATCCAAGCCTTGGGCAGGGAGAGCATACAGATCTCTGAGCCTCATCTATAGTATATGGGGGGCTGGGACTTTAATATGATGTTACCCCTTTGTCCTGATGCTGCTAACACCTGATCTGCTGAGACCATGACACAGCAGGACAAATCGAGAAACAGAGGCACTGCCGCAGCTAGAGAAGTGGCCCAAGTGAGTGCCTGGGCAATCAGGGGTGTGATCTAGTCACAGCCTGAGAGAGCTCAGAGTTACCAGTCCCCTGCTGGTGCCCTTTCCTGTCCTTGCAAAAGGTTTGCCTAAAAAGTTGGTGAGTGAAGCTCTAGGTTGTAATCTGCAGTCCTCCCACCGCGCCCGCCTGTTTTCATTATGAAGGGAAAGAGCATCAGAGCCGTGTTTATAACCCCCTTTTAGATAACAAATCACATTTTCTTTTCGCCTGCGAGTGTGTTGAATTGATATTTTTTTCCCCTCAGTTTAATGGGTTTGTGTGTTCAGGAATGATCTTCATCAACCGAAACTCCTTATTGTGTTTGATGTAATGTCAGCTTTCATTATGTGCTTCGGTGGGAGCCCAGCACAGGGAAGGCCAGGCACCCTGGAGCCAGGGCCCTGCCCCACCCCCACCCAGCCCATCTGGGCTTGTCTTCCTGAATGGGTAGGTGGTCGGGATGAGCAAAATTGAAGATGAGAGGCTAGGTTATAGCCAGGGTCCAAAGCCTTCCTTTTCCCTGCCTAAGAATTATATGTATGTTCAGGTCAAAGGGCTGCTATGAGAAAGTGCCAGATGAAGCAGACACCTCAGACTCTGGACCCTCTCAAGTCGCCTTTGGTCTTACACACTTGGAAGGTTGTAGTCGTACCTCAGCATGGTGCCAGGCATGCAATCACTATTCCAGAGTGCTTGGACTGAGCCAACATATCCAGCCAGTGGCTTGTACCCCCAGAGCCCCTGGTGGGAGAGATAACCTGGGACTGTTCCCCCAAACATTCCCCAGCACTAGCCACAGATTCAGCACCAAGGGCAGTCACCAAGACCAAGGCTTCCCCTGGAAGCAGGAGGAGACTGAAGTTCAGAGAGGAAATGGTCCAACCCTGGGGTCACCCAGCAACTGAGTCCCAGCCAGGTCTTGGGCACAAGTCTCCATATGTGGTGCTACTTTACTGATGGCCCTTGGGAGCAGTTACCACTCCCATTTGCATGTCACAAAGAAACAGGCTGGGAATGCCAGGACCGCCAGGAACATGTTGGAGGATTTTTTTTTTTTAATAAAACGGGACTGAGGAACGCCTGGGGAGGGTGACTCGGACAGTAGCCCTACCCTTAGAGCCCACCAGGGTAGAGTGGGGAGGCCCCTCCTGAGCAGGTGGCACTTACTGACACCAGGCTAACCTTCTGGCGGCCTCTGTCAGCTGCGCTTGGTCCTGATTAAAGATCATTAAACATGAAATTAGCCCGTTTGTGTTACGGGTCCCCGGGGTGGCCGGTGATTATGACGCGCAGATGGCCAAGAACCCAGGCGGTAGGCAGGCAGGCATGGGCCAGGACAGGCGGGCAGCTCGGGCCAGTGAGGGCCGGGAGGCAGGAGTACAGGCCGGGCTTTGTTTTCTCCCACTCCTGTTGTGTAAACCCCCTTACATTTCACAACAAATCACAGATAATTAATAAGTACATGCCTGTAATGAGCAGGCTTTTTAATAGAAGAAATTGGAAGATGCAGCGTCAAGTCATTATTTTGCTTTTGCCCAGGCTCGGCTCTGTTCTCCCATCTTCCTCACTCCCAGTCCCGCCTCAGTCAGCGTCTCCACCACAAGAGGGGGGTCTGACCCTTCCTCCCAGCAGGGGAGTGTAGGAGGCAGGGCCCCTGGGACTGTCTCATCTGGCCTTGGGAGGACTAATCTGGGTGCGGGGAGGGGATGGCTCCTGACCCAGGCCTCAGGCATGGGGGTCCTGGCTGTATCTCACAAACCCCTGAGCCGCGAATGCTGAGGCCTCTCTCCCCTCACCAGGAGGAAGACATCATGTACTATGACGCCAAGGCCGATGCTGAGCTGGTGAGTGCCCCACCATGCTGTTGAAGGGGTGGTGGGCTGCCAGCACCACACCCCCTCTTCTGGGACTCTGTGGTATCAGATGTAAAATGGGTGTTAAGATTCATCACTAAGCATTCTGAGCTCATCCCTGCAGAGTTGTGGTGACACGGGCCCCCACTCCCTGTCTCTCACAACTCCAAGGCTATGTCTCTGTGGCCACTAATAAGCTGGGCTCCACTGCACAGTGTGGAGCAGGCTGCTCCCCCCCACACACCCCAGGCAAGGAGGGAGGTACTTGGACCTCCCTGTACAAGGCAGCTTACATCCTGGCACAGAGAGGGGCTCTCTGAATATGACAAGAATTGCGGGAGAGGGAGCAATGGGGAGGGTTTCCTGGAAGTGGACAGGTAGGGGCAGGCTTCAAATCAGTACAGGCCCCTCCCACACCTGTCCCTAGGATCGTGCTTTACTTAGCCCTGAGCTCAGTCTTACTCCAGCTGCAGAGGCAACTCAGTTCAAGTGCCCTCCCTTCTGATGAGGCTCTGCTCAACTACAGTCACTCCCCTCAGAAGTGTGGCACTAGGACTGAGCCACGCTGCCCTTCTGCCTCCATGTTTCTCACTGGCTCAAGTCGGCTTGGGCTGCCCTGTGGGGTACTGAGGTCCCCCATCACCAGAGGATTCAGTGAAAGATGTATGACCATTGGGTGGAGGTGGTTACAGAGAAGACAGGAGTGTCTTGAGGATACAGACACTTGGAGTAGACAGTGTGTGATGAACTTGTCAAGGCCCAAGTCCCTCTGACTGACTTCAAGGCAAAGTGGTAGGACATGACTATGCCCTCTGTAAACAGAGGTGTCATAGTAGTTCAGTCTCCCAGGACTCACCTGTGTTTACTGGTGCACAAGACCCAAGATGCAGTCTTCCTCTCCCAGGCCTGGGGGCCTAGGGCCTTTCCTGGGGTAAACAGGCAGTATCCCAAGACACCAGGAGGTGGGAAGGCTGGAAAGGGTCCCTGCGGAGGGATCACAGTGCCAGGCTAGCCTGGGGAGCCTTCAGGAGGGCAGGGGCCTAGAAGGAGGGGGTGGGCTCAAGCAGGTGTGCTTCCCCTTGGCTGAGCTCCGTGGCTCCTGGAGAAGTTGCTAAAATTAAAGCTAGAATCTGAAATTCAAATGAAGAGCGAACCTTTAATTAGACCCTGAATCTAATTCCTTACCCCCCTCGGCAGCGGGCTGTAATTTTAGCAATCAGTGCATTAAATATAAACCAGGAGACTGCAGTTGCCCACCACACAAAGCCCCTGGGCTCACGGGTGGTACTGAGGGGTTCCTTGGTCAGCCTATTACCCGGTCCCCTGCCAGGACACTCTTCACTCCCTGCTCCCAACTGCATCAGGGACCCCAACCCCTGGTTCTAAATCACTGATTCTCTTCCCCCAGCCCCTTGGACACCTGCTGGGGGCTAGAGACTGCCTCAATGAGGGAGACTTAGTCTAGGCAGGGCTGGGCTAGAGTCAGCCAGGACAAAAGCCCTGCCTGGCCCCTGTATAAATAACAGCACGCACACATTTGCCGACTCCCCTGCTTGTTGTGTTGTTTTGTTTTTTTAATCTTTGCCAGAGGTACAGTTAGAGATCTTTCTAGACCATTTACTTTTAAATTACCAGCCAGAAGGTGGGGGTGGGGGAAAGAGAAGGAAGGAAAAAGTTCGCCAGCTGATAGCTTATCAGAACAGAATCCAAATGTCACATTAGTTGGGAAAGTTGGGAGATTAAATTTTCCAGCGCCCTTCATCTGCTGCTGACATTTCGGGGGCTTTCTTCTCCCGCGCCTCCCCCTCCTCTGAGCAGAGCATGAGTGGTGCATGCCTCACAGGCCGCCAGCTCCCTGCTATGGCCTTGGTGCTCAGCGGCTGCCTGCCCTGGCTTTATCCAGCACCCAAGGGCTTCTGAGGGAACCCCCACTGGGTGGGCAGAGCGTGGCACACTGGGTGAGAAGCTTGGAAGGGCATCATACAGCCTGGACTTTGGCTGTACAAAATCCATCCTGCAGAGATGAAATGGGTGTTTGCTGTGGGCCTGTCGGAGCCACGTCCCCACGGTGTACAGAGAACATCTGGGTAGGTGGAAAGGCAGGGTCATCCTTTCCCCAGAAGACACCGCCTGGGCAGATGCCTAAAGACAGAACACAAAGAGAGGGACATGCCCAGGACACAATGAGCAGCAGGGGCAGCAGCCTATGAGACATATGGGGGAGATGATATGAGCTGAGACTGAGCCAAGGCTAATCATAGGAGTCTTGGGGGGCAGCAAATGAGTGTGTGGAGGATTCCTCTGCCTGGGCTTCCTCCTATCAGGGCATGAAGCCCCAGCTCTGCTCTCTTCCCTGCCTTAGTCTCCATCTCTCCCTTGCCTCCCCATCTGGCTTTTCCCTCTCTTCCCCTGCACTCTTTACCATCTTCCCTCCCTGCTCACACACCTGCACCCAAGCTCTGCCCCCACCCCTTGACTGTGGCATCCACACTATAGTCGCAGATCCACTCCTGCCAGCCTATGGTGGTGGGCGGGGGTACACAGCGCATGCCCAGACTGCCTGGCCGAGAGATGCTGTAATTGGCACCTGTCAGGCGGCTGCAGCTCATTTTAGAAAATCAACAGGGGCCCTTACAATCCTACTGCTAGCAGGCACGGCAGACCTTCCCTCCCGCAGTCCCCCACCCAGTTCTTCCCAGGTCTGTCCCCCAGCTATCTCCTAGAGATGCCCTGCTGCAGAGGATGGTATCCCTGTCCCAGATGGTGCTAAGGCCCTCTCCATGGTGCCAAAGGAATTCCATGCAGGAGATGGATGGAACCCAGTGGAGAGTATGGAGGCACAGAGCTCTTAGGATATGCTGCCAAGGCCTCCCTGTGATTGCACAAGGCACATCCTAATTTTTTGTTTGGGGGGCAGTACTGGTGACTGAACCCAAGGGCACTCTACCACTGAGCTGTATCCCCAGCCTTTTATATTTTTTATTTTGAGACAGTCTCACTAAGTTGCTTAGGGCCTCACTAAGTTGCTGAGGCTGGCTTTAAACATGTGATCCTCCTACCTCAGCCTCCTGAACCACTGGGATTCCAAGTGTGCACCACCACACCTGGCTTCAAGGCACATCTTTGTAAGCAGAATTCTGGGTCCTGTTCCTTCTAACTGGCACCGTTATCTGACTCCTTCACTGATAATTGGTTTTCAAAGATGTTTGGTTTAGATTTTAGAATTTAGTTTTGACAGTGGGTAGGGTGGGCAGGGACAGGTGGGAGTCTGTCACAAGCCTTCTGGGTAAGGGGTCATCCATCTGTCCTGCTGTCTTTCCATCTCTCTTTCTCTTTGTCTCTGCAATAGCTTCTATGCTTGAGATGCCCCTGTCTCCTGGACTCTGGTCCTCCCTACCTACCCCTGCCTGCAGGCCTGTAAAACCTACTCACCATTTTCCAATTCTCACAGTTCTGGGGGACTTTCTGCAGGATGATCCTGAGAGTGAGGATGTGGAGAGGGGGTCCAAGACCAGCACCCTAAGACTGGACTTCATCGAGGACCCAAACTTCAAGAACAAGGTCAACTATTCATACACAGCTGTGCAGATCCCCACGGACATCTACAAAGGCTGTGAGTGTGCAGAGTGATTGGGACGGCCCTCACTGCCTGTCATGGGTGCAAGGCCTACAACTCATGCCCCTGGAGACAGAAGGCCAATACCATCAACCTCCATCCCCTACAGCCAAGGTCACACACGTTCACCTCTGAAACTCCCTGACATGCAGGCATCCAGCTACTCATAGTCAGAGCCTCATGCTAACCCTCAGCAAGTTACAAAACTGAGTTTCGCATTCCTGTGCATGCATGGTCTCCAGCTCATATGAACATGAAAACATACACACACACACACACACACACACACACACACACACAGTCCAACACATGCTGGTGTGAGTCCCTCAAAACAGCTCCTTGCCACTCTCTCACAATCCCTGGTCTCATTAGAAGTAACTGAGAAGGGCTGGGGCTGGGGCTCAGTGGTGAAGCACTTGCCAGGCATGTGTGAGGCCCTGGGTTCGATCCTCAGCACCACATAAAAATAAATAAATAAAGATATTGGGTCCATCTACAACTAAAAAAAAAAAAAATACATTTTTTTAAAAGTAACTGAGAATCTACCACATATCAGATGGACATAGGGGCTAAGGGACAGCCCTCACTGACAGACACCAACCCTATTATACCACCCTGATCCTTAAAAAAACAAAGGGGTAGAAAGATGGTTTCCAGGACAGAGCAGCCAGGGGCAGATGTGGGCAAGGGGAATTAGGAAGAGAGTGGTGAGACTCCAAGCCCCAGGGAGAGGGCAGCTTTTCACAATGGAAAAACCGTGTGCTATAACTGGAAGGGTTTGAGTTAGATATGAGGAGGAACTTCCTAAAGCTCTTGAGAGGAGGCCAGGAGTAGAACACTGGATGGGGTTCTCCAGCAGCAGAATTTAAGGCCCTAGGGACTCTTGGGTCTGTTACAGTCCTATGGCACCTATGGGGTGGCCCCAGAATCCAAGGGCCCACTGAGCTAGGGATCTTAAAGCAAAGGTCCCAGAGCTCTTGCATGGCTCTAGAGAATTCCCCAGAGTCCTCAGGGAGGGCCCCCTCCACCCTCAGGGTCAGCTAGGCCTTTTGGGCAGCCTCAAGGGGAGTAGAGAGGGATGCTCCCCCACCCACCCCAAAGTCTGCCCAGAGGCCACCTGCCTGAGCCAGTCGAGAGGCACTATCACAGGCAGGCACGCTAATTAAAACAGGAGCCACACCGCCCTCCCCAGTCACCCCTCGCTACCCACACAAATTACATTTTATATGTTTTTTATTTACTGTGTCACTTTTAATTAAATCTGTAATCGCCTGCCTGAGGGGGCATGGTCCCCATTTTCCAACTCAGCATGATCTGAAAGTGTGTGCACATGGGTGTGGGTGTGGGTGCAGGGGGTGGAGTAGCAGGCCCTTTGTGGGATGGGGCCATTTGCATCGGTGTGTCACTCAATGAATGCATGTGTGTCGATGTGATCACAGGTACCTGCAGGGACAGCCCGCCCAGAGCAATGTCTTCTCTTGGCTTTTGACCTGAGTCAGGGACACCCCAACCAGAGGGGCTTCAAGCCTCTCAACTGGGAAGACTGAGGTCCAGTGAGGGTTGGGTGTCCCAGGCAGATTCCCAGGGCAGCCAAAGCTGTGTTTTCCTTTAAAGAGAAAAATATAATAAAAATTGTTCAATTCACTAAGTTTCTAAATCAGGAACAGGACCATAACATAGTGTTCAATAGGCAGAGCCAACACTAGAAATGGGTTTTGTTTTCACATTATGGTCAGTTAAGGGGAACCACGGGGACGGAGAAGGGAGTGAGAGCAGCGGAGGAAGAGTTTAGGGAGCAGACAGGACACAGCAGAGCCCCCACGCAGGGGGAGCAGAGGGAGCGCAGGGGTGGGCAGAGCCTTGAGCAATTGTAAATCATGACTCCATCTGCTCTGGAAAGAGCAGAGCCTTCTCTGTTTCTCACTTGTGGTGGGTCTTTGATGGGGAGCCCAGTGTGTGTGTTGGGGGTGATGTTGGCAGGGCTTGACCTGGAAAGAAGGGAAATGGAGGAAATTGAAGAGAAGCAGTATTGGCTCTTGGGGGAGGGGTAAGGCATATAGGCAGCAACAGTTGTCCTGCTCTTGTTTTTTCTGAGTGTGCAGGGATAGGTACACATGAGAACATATTCACATGGGGCAGATTTAGGGCTGCCCTGGTTGAGGGGTGGGAGGCCAGTAGTCTTGAGAGGAGCCTTGCTCTGTGAGGGTGTGTGGATGGGTAGGTATGGCCAGGGGATCATGCATGTGCGACTACAAAGGTTGGGAATGGAGGGTGGGGGGAACTATTGGTAGGGGATCTGAGAACAGGACCCACTGGTGGCCTTCTGTAGGTGCCCAGGGGTATGTAGGCGTAAGCAAGCACATATGCCCCTGTGCTCACGGCAGCAGTCAGGTTGCTAGGCAGGTGGATTTAAGTGTAAGGGGTGGGGGGGTCACACACCTGGTTGAAAGCACATAAGTTACATGCAGGTATACCTGCTGGGGGTGCAGGCTTTGTGTGTGTGTGCATGTATGCCCACGTGCATGCACACAAGCACACATACATGCCTATGTCAGAGCAAGATCTTGGCACTACCTCTGCCTCCAATAGCCCCCACCTCTGCCCCTGCCTGCTCCTGGCCCCAGTTGATTAATCATGGAGCTGAGTGGCTTCCAGCTTATCAGGTAACTTAATAGCTGAATAATTCCAGCCCCATCAGCGGGCCCTTAATTGCTTTCTTGTGGCTGTGGCCTGGAGTGCATGCTGAGTGGGTGAGCTCCCCGGGGACCAGCCACAAGTTCCAGGCAGCAATGCTTCTTAGGGGGCCCAGCTCACAGTTCCATGCCACCTGAATGGCCCTTCTCCAAGAGCCACCAGCCACCGCTGCCCTGCCTGCTTGTGTGGGGCCCAGGTGAGGGTTAGGCTGGGCTATTCCTTGACAGCTTGGACTGAGTGAAGACCAGGAAGTCTTCCTGGGGGAGATGGTACAGCCCCAGCTGGGCTCTGGGAAATGAGGGAGAGTCTGGACAGGCAAGAGAGTAGGAGGGGGTTGGGCATGAGTGTCACAGTGGTGGGTTCAGCAAGAACAGCCTAGAGCTCCCCACCCCAGCCTCCTGCTTCACCCCCAGCCACCGTCATCCTCAATGAGCTCAACTGGACAGAGGCCCTGGAGAACGTGTTCATTGAGAACCGCAGGCAAGACCCCACACTACTGTGGCAGGTCTTTGGCAGTGCCACAGGAGTCACCCGCTACTATCCAGGTAGGTGCCAGCCATTTCCCCTGTCTACCCAGTACCCTACCTTGCTCCATCCTGAAGTGCACGGGATAGGATGGTCAACCAGTGGGCTACGGTGACCCAGTCATTCCCACAAGGCCTGTCTGTCTGGATTGGACCCTTCCCTGCCTGTCCCCCTCACCTTCTCTCCTCCCACAGCTACCCCATGGCGAGCCCCCAAGAAGATTGACCTGTATGACGTCCGAAGGAGACCCTGGTAAGCAAGTAGATAGGAGCTGGGCAGGACACTCCTTTAGCTCCCCACCTCTCCTGCCTCCCCTCCCTCCCAATATCCAGGCCTTCGAGCAGGGCGCAGCCAGCTCTATCCAATTTTCATTTCACACATCGTTGCCACTGGAAAATGGATCCCATCACCCAGGCAGGCCTCCCAGCTGCCTCTGCTCCCCTCCCCTCTCCCCCCGCCATCTACCACCCAGTACCCCCACCCGCTCAGGACTGAGAGATCAGCCCAGTGGGGGTGTTCCCATGGATAGATATGGCCTCTGCGGGGTTGGCAGCCCCTGCCCTGCTCATTCCAGCTTTAAACACTCTACCGTATGACTTTTCTTTCCTCTTCCATCCCATACACAACTAGACTGTGCCCTTAGGGTCTCCACCTAGGGCAGAGGCTACAACAAACTCTGAAGCCAGGGAGCTCCTCCTGCCTACTCTGTGGATCACCAACGCCCTGCCACCACCCCTTGGGGTTGTTTACTTGCTGAGGGACCAGATCACTCATGTCCCTGGCAGACAGTGTCTGCTTTATTAAACATAGTCTCCCCAGTGCCCCGACCCTGTCTAGCTTATGCAGTGGATGCTCAGTAGAAACATGTGAATCAGTATGTGGGTAAAGGAAGGAAAGACCCCCAAGGTCCCAGCAGGGCTGGTCCTAATTGAGGCTTCTCCTGGACAGGTATATCCAGGGGGCCTCGTCACCCAAGGACATGGTCATCATCGTAGATGTGTGAGTGAACAGTGCTGGCAGGCAGGGTTGGAGCTGGAGTCTGCTGCCTGGGAACCTCATGGGGGTAGGGTAGGAGAACATCTGGGGTCCCTCAACATGGCCCCTGCCCAACCTCTCCAGGAGTGGCAGCGTGAGTGGCCTGACCCTGAAGCTGATGAAGACATCCGTCTGTGAGATGCTAGACACACTCTCTGACGATGACTATGTGAATGTGGCCTCGGTGAGTACCAAGACAGTAGGCAACCAGGGAGCTGGTCATCCCTACCTGTCCCATGCAACAGCTGCCTGCCCTGGCCAGCCTGAGGCCACTCACCACCCCATTGTCCCTGCAGTTCAACGAGAAGGCGCAGCCTGTGTCTTGCTTCACACACCTGGTGCAGGCCAATGTGCGGAACAAAAAGGTGTTCAAGGAAGCTGTACAGGGCATGGTGGCCAAGGGTACCACAGGCTACAAGGCCGGCTTTGAGTATGCCTTTGACCAGCTGCAGAATGTGAGCCCCATGGGTGGGCAAATGGGCGGCTGGGGGCGGACGAGGGCCCAGGCTTGGTGACACGGGGAAATCAAAATGGATGGCCTTGTTAGTGCCAAACAGGCAGCTTGGACAGATAGCACCATCTGCTGTGGGAAGGAAGGCCAAAGGGCCAGGCCCACCATGGGGAGGGAGGCCTTGCCCCTGGACTGGAGAGGGGCTGAGAGCCACCTGACTCCACTCACCCCTGCCCAGTCCAATATCACTCGGGCCAACTGCAATAAGATGATCATGATGTTCACGGATGGCGGTGAGGACCGCGTGCAAGACGTCTTTGAAAAGTACAATTGGCCCAATCGGACGGTAAGACTCAGCCCAGGTGGGGGTTGCCCTGATCTTGGCCCAGAACCGGGGAGGGCTATACTCCAGAGGTCACAGTAGTAACTTCAAGACCCCACAGGTACGTGTGTTTACCTTCTCTGTGGGGCAGCATAACTATGATGTCACACCACTACAGTGGATGGCCTGCACCAACAAAGGTATCTTATCCAATGTCACGGCCAGGAGGCCTGCCTACTATGTCCTGCTGCCAGCTGTCCATCCATGTGTCTGTTTGTCCTTTCACTGTCTATCTTCCCATACATGTGGCTGTCCACTGCTCTGCCTATCCAGTGAGCTGTCTAACTTGTCCATCTGATCAAACATTGTTTGTCCATTGTACATCTGTCTTCTAGCTTGTTTACTCCTGCATCTGTTTTCTGTCTATCTCTACACTTGGGCCTGGTTGCTAAGTGGCCCCTGAAGATTACAGCTGTCCTAGACTGGAGAACTTCAGGCTCCTTTTGTCACCCTGTCTCTGCCCCAATCCCCACCCCTGCTGTGCTTCCTTAGGCCTCTATTATACTCACTCCCCTTCCCTAGCATTGATCCCAGGAACAGGGCAGCAGAAGGGAGTACAAAGAGATATATGAGTCTTGGGTAAGTCATACCAAAGAGAGAAGGAGTCTGAGGGGCAAATCAGGTCTGCAGACCTACCCCAGGGGGCAGAACCCCCTGTGCTGTGGATCCCCGCAGTGCCAGCCAGGTCCATCTCTGCCTCCTCTCCCTTCACAGGTTACTATTTTGAGATCCCTTCCATCGGAGCCATCCGTATCAACACGCAGGTGAGGCTGTGAGGGAGGCCACTCCTCCCAGCCCCTGGCTTCCCTGCTGTCTCTCTGTGCAGCAAGCTGAGAGCGCCCCCTGGTGATGACTGGGGCACATACCAAAGCATGGGGAGACCAAAGAGGGAGTTAATTGGGAGGAACACTGGTGACCTCTGCTACCCCCTCCCCAGGAATATCTAGACGTGTTGGGCAGGCCCATGGTGCTGGCAGGCAAGGAGGCCAAGCAGGTGCAGTGGACCAACGTATATGAGGATGCACTGGTAAGGCCTCTGGTCAAGGAAGGGACCTGGCTGCCTTCCCCAAGGATCTGCCCAGGGATCAAGACCCTTAAAGTCCCCTTAATGGGGGTTAACAAAGCAGAGGAGAAAGAGTGATGGCCTGCGCCTGAGCCCCTGCTCTGAATACTTGGGCTCAGGGCAGGACTGGTCACAGGAGACCCCCATCCTCCTCCTTTCCCTTCAGGGACTAGGGTTGGTGGTAACAGGGACACTCCCTGTTTTCAACCTGACGCAAGATGGCCCTGGGGAAAAGAAGGTGAGGTTCCCACTGAAGGAGGATTGGGCATGCCTGGGGAGGGAATAGCATGGCCCTAACAGGCGTGGGAAGGAAGGAGGGATAGGGCAGTCCAGCAAAGTGGAGGGGGCAGCTGCCTATGAAAGCATCTAGAAGCTTTGGGTGTGGGGCAGAGAGGTTCCCCCTTGGAACTAAGCCCCTTACAGATTATCCATGCCTCTGCTTCTAGAACCAGCTAATCCTGGGTGTGATGGGCATTGATGTGGCTCTGAATGACATCAAGAGACTGACTCCCAACTACACAGTGAGTGTCTACCTGTCCATCCACCCTACTCTGCCTCCCACATGAATACAAGCCAGGTTCAGCAGAGCAGACCGACAGAATCACAGCATGTCTATGGAAACCTTTGAGTTGAGGAAATGAGGGGTGGGCTTCCTGAGGAGGTGACCTCTGAGTGGAGTCAGCAAACTTTCTGTAAAGAGCCAGGCTGTGAATGTTTTAGACTCTGTTGGCCTAAATACCCATTTCATACTCTACTGTTGTATTGTGAAAGCAGCCAGATAAAACAAACACATAGGTATAGCTATGTTCTTATATGGTTTTGTTTGTGGATACCAATTTATGAATTTCAGATCATCTTCACATTTCATGAACTAGAATTTTTCCTTTTATTTTTTTTCAACCATTTAAAAACATACAAGTGTTTCTTAGCTTACAGCCATATAGTATCAGGTAACAGGTCAGACTCAGCCCATGCACAGAGATGGGCAGTGTGGTTGGCCCAGGGCCTGTTGAAGAGGAGGGAGGAGGCACCTGTTTGGCCCTGAGGCACTGTGGTCAGGCACTGTGGCATGGACCTTCAGGTTCAATGAGAAAACTGTATCAGAGTTAAAGGCTGGGTCCCCGGTCCCTCTTATTCCTACTTCCCTTCCACCTGGAGAAGAAGCCCCAGGACTATAGGATCCTCAAGAATCTTCCCGTTGCCCTGTGTTCTACTGAACTGGGGACAATGCACAAATCAGAGGCAGCCGTAGGCAGGCAAGAGCAATGCAAGAGTAGCAGCTTTGTGAACCCTGTGGAGGCAGAGAGGTCAGGCTAGCTGACAGCTCCATGGAGACTACAGGACATAAGATGGCAAGGGCTGGTGCATGAGGGGCACCTAGCCCCAGGCATAGCTTGAGAGGCAGGCTTATGGCCATGTGGCAGGTGGGGGCCCTTGGCCCATGGCAGGCATACAGCAGCCCTCAGCAGGGTAGAAGGCAGAATGGGGAAGAGCTCCGGAGCCCAATCTCTGCCTAGCCCTTTGGAACCACAGTTCCCCAATCTGCACCTCCAGCTTGGAGCCAACGGCTATGTGTTCGCCATTGACCTGAACGGCTACGTGTTGCTGCACCCCAATCTCAAGCCTCAGGTGAGCCAGGTGGATGGCCTGGAGGGAGAGTTACCTTCCAAGATGGGGACTCCCAATTGCCTGTCCTGCCTCCCCACAGACTACTAACTTCCGGGAGCCTGTAACTCTAGACTTCCTGGATGCAGAGCTGGAGGATGAGAACAAGGAGGAGGTAAAATGAAGACAGGGAGGAGGGATGGGGAGGCCTGCCCAAAGAGCAGAGGAGGGTCACAGCTCTGGCCCTTCCAGATCCGTCGGAGCATGATTGATGGCAACAAGGGCCACAAGCAGATTAGAACCTTGGTCAAGTCTCTGGATGAGGTGAGAAGGAAGGGGAGGGGGGACAGAGGGTCAGAATGGGTACCCTTCCTACCCCGCATCTACTCTAGCCTGCTAGCCCAAGTACCTGATGTGGCCTCCTCTCCCAGAGGTACATAGATGACGTGATCCGGAACTACACCTGGGTGCCTATAAGGAGCACCAACTACAGGTGAGTAGGCCAGGACTGGACAGGCAGAAGTATGGGGTGACCCAGAGTCTGAGCCCCACTGTCCCCTCCTAGTCTATCCTCCACTCTAGTCTATTGTAACTATTATCCCAGTGAGGAACCAGTAGCCAGGGCTCCTTACTACTCACCCTGGGATACTAGATCCCCCAATCCTTGGAGGGGTTTCCTGAGGAACAACCCAGAGGTTCTGGGAGTCCAGAAAAGAGAATAGGACAGTGCATCCTCTTGTCACACCTGCCTGGAGGGCATCCCTGGGTGTCCACACTCAGAGTATCGTCTCTGCACATTCACTGCCTCCTCTAAGCCAACATCGAAGCCTCAGAGCAGGTCCCCTTTAGGTCAGGCATGGTTGACATAGGTTGTCCTCTGAATGAGTGCATGTGCCACACAACTGGTGCATTCTAAAATACCAGGGGCATCTTCATACCCCAGGCCCAGCCAACACTGCCCCTTGCCACACCTGTGCAGCCTTGCCATTTGCTGAGTCTAAGATAGTGTCAGGGACTGCAGCCCCCACTCCTTGGGGATAGCAGCTCCCACCCCTGATGCTAGGATGCTAGGGGAGTCTACTGGGGGTAAGGATTTGCTTTGGGTCTGGTTATTCTCCATCCTCCAGGAGAGTTGGGGATATGGAGGTCCAGTGTTTCCAAGGCAGGGGAAGAGGGACTCCCTGGGCTTGGGCCTCTCTGTCCAGCTCCAAAGCCATGGGGAGGGGGTGCCAGAATGGCCCACCTCTTCCCAGCAGTGACCTGCACTCCCCCTTCCCCACCTCCCCAGCCTGGGGCTGGTGCTCCCACCCTACAGCACCTTCTACCTCCAAGCCAACCTCAGCGACCAGATCCTGCAGGTCAAGTGTAAGTGGCCCGGCCCCTGCCTGCGCCCTGCACCCCTGCCTCTGTCCCTGCACCCTGGCCGGCCCCAGGCAGCATAGCCAGCCATGCTTGCTGGCAAGGCATCCCCTCCTGCCCATTCTGCCCAGCCTCTGGCACCCACAGGCTGGGGCCCCGCCTCCAGCCTTCAAAAGTCTGTGGAAATCTGCATGCTCGCCTTTTCTCAGATTTGGTTCCAGACCATTCTCTCATGGTTTCCGTTGAGGTTTCTGTTTTTGGTTTCTCCTACTCCGTGTCTCCCTTTCATAGCCTGCCTGCCCTGAAAACCCTTGGGGGCTGCATTCTTGGAAGACACCCCCATCCCCTCTCCTCTTTCCCTGCTCCCAGCTCAGTTTTCTACCTCCTGTGGTGCCACCTCCAGGTCTCTCACTCTGTCCCCCATTCCCCATCCTCACTCAGGTCCCACTGTCCCTCAGTCTCCTCTCGATCCTCTTCATCTTCATCTTCTGCCATTCTCACTCTGATCTCCCTGCACTCCAACTTCCTTTTCTCTCCCTCCCTCCTTCTCTCATTCCCCATTTCCTTTTCCTTCCCTCTTCCCCTCCCCTGCTCCTCCACCTCCTCTGTCACCCTCCCTTTCTAACCTCTCCCTTCTGTTTTCTTCATCCATTTCTCTCACTTCCCGCCACCCATCTCTATAGCACCCCTACCTTCTTGAGTACACTCCCTTCAGTCTCTCTCCCTCTGTCTTACACCCTCTACCCTGCTCATTCCCTTCCCCAATCCTGGCCTGCTCCCTCCTCCTCCCTCTCTTCCTTTCCTTTCTCCTTCAGCCCAGCTTTCCCTCTCCTCCCAGTTTCTCTCCCCCTCTTCCTCTCTTCTTCTCTCTTCTTTCTCCCTCTCCTCCCTCCTCTCCCAGTCCTCTGCCTGTGGCTCCTCCCTGCATGCCCTGCTTACCCTGGGCCTCTCAGAGAGGCATGGGTTTCAGGCTTGGTCCCGCCTGCCCACCACCCGAGGTCACTGGGAGGGAGGCTGGGGCTCCGGCCCCACCGGGCGCCCCCCACCTGCCTGGCCGACTGGGGCTCATCTCCATTGAGTTTTCTTGCTCTCTCTTTCTCTCTCATGTCGTTTTTTTGCAAGAAGTTTCCTTTCGGTATGATGATGAGACACAATATTTTCATTCAAACAGCCATTGAATAAAATATTGTTTGTGCCCCTCCCCTTCCCCTCCCCCTTTTCGTTTGTTTTTGTGTTTGTGTTTTTGTTTTCCTCGCTTTCTCTCTTGGTGGACTGTCCCAGTGCCAATCAGCAAACTGAAGGGCAAGTATATTCAGAACCAGTGCACCCTCCTCTCCCCACCCCACCCCCTCACACCCCTGCTTGCCCCCCTCCCTGCCCAGGACCAGCCACACCCCTGCCCTTCAGGGTTCCCCTCCCAGCATCCCCTTGGTTCCTCAGTTCTTGCCTTTCCTCTGGTCCCTAAATCCCTTTTAGAGCCATTGGCCCCTTCCCTGGGCCTGCCTGCAGGATGTTCTCCAATGTTCTGAGGGTCAGGTCCCTTCCATAGTCCTTGTCCCTATGGGAAGGCCTCTGCCTCCCCCCACCATCCCTCCAAGACAACTCAACAGTGGGGACAGGGCTGGATGCCTCTCTGCCACCTCCCACCCAGCAGGGCAGGGAGCTTGAGATGCAGGTAAAGTCCTCCCTGCTTACTGAGAAAGTTTATGAGAGGCTACCAGAAAGGATCAGCCCCACAAGGCTCCCTTTAGGACAGACAGCTCTCCCTCCTCTGATCTCTGCCAGTGGATCCAAAAGCTGGCAGCCCTCTGAGAAGGGAGACAGAAGGGCTCTGAGCCTCATCCCCTTGCCCTGGGAAAGGGGGACACACAGGGTAGGCAGCTGGGCCATCTGAAGAACAAGGCTCACACACCATGTTGGGAACTGGCCTTGGTGCTGAAGTTCCCCTGACCGGCCACACCCACTGCCCCGCCCTACCACCACCAGGCTGTGCTGAGGCCCTTTGACCCAGGCCTGCCCTGGGGTAATCACTGCTCCTGGGGAGGAGCAGCAAGGTATGGAAAAGGTGTTCTCCTTGGGGAATAAAGGCAAATTCAGACTGGAAACCCTGGCCAGGCACAGAATGGGATCTGTCTGGACGCCAAGGCCAGCAAAGGAGCTTAGAGAAAATCAGGCCAAGTGTGAAGAAAAAGATTGTGGCACTCCAAAGTGCCCAAGCCAGAGAGTCTTGGAAAAGTGGGTGGTGAATTCCCAGACCCTGGCAGAGAACGGCAGGAGTAAGAGGACAACACAAGGTCTTTGCCACTGGTGCAAAAAGAGCTGCCCTCTCAGGGAATACTTAGCAGATGCAACATGGAGAGCCACAGGGGATTCCCCCTAACCTGGAATCAGGAGTCCCCAGTCACCCTAGGGCCCCTGACCAGCCTTGTTCAGCAAAGGGAATACAGCCACCCGCAATGGCCTGCGGGGGAGGTGGGGGCATACCCTACTCCCACTGGCTTGAGTTGTCTTTTTCTCCTTGTCTCCCACAACCCACTCAGTGACCCTAGAACTGTAGGGCCCTAGTAACCATGAGAACCATAGCATAGTATCCCTAGTATCCCTCCCTGCTCCTTCTCCCTCCTTTTTCTTTCTCCTCCTCCCCTCCCCCACCCTTTCCCCTTCGGCTTGTGTCCTGCCTCACAGTCCTATCAGAAAGGAACAGTCCAACCAGTGACTGCCCAGCTCCCTCTAAGCACCCCAAGCCTCCCCTGCCCAGAACCTTGCAGTGCATCATGGGAGTATTTGGGAACAGGGAAAATCCCTCTTCTGTACAAATAAAGCCCTGGGGACAAAATAGTTTGTGATGTGGGTGAAGATAGGATAGGAAACTGCCAGAGTTGAGACAGGCCAAGAGCAAAGGGACCCCTCCTAGATGTTGGCCTTCAGGGCAACCAGTCCAGCTAGGCAGGAGAGACCTGAGGCCTTGTGGCCTCATCTTCAGGTTCACTCACAAACCCATACAAAGACACACACACATACACATACACACACATGCACAGCTCATGAGACCTGGGCAATAGCCCAACTGATGGACCCCTCTTCAGGCATCCCCAGCATTCCTCCCTGGCTCCTCTGAGCCCAGACATGCCTAGGAAAGGAGGAGACCTAGCCCTTCTTCTCTACCTGCCCCCACATGCCCCCAGCCCAGTAAAGTGAATGTTAAGTTTCTATCAGCACCCCTCACCCCTCACAGGGTGCAGAACAATCCCTACACCTTGAGGGTCTCCCTTCATGCAGTATCCTGTCCCAGAAAGAACCCCCCAGACCCCCACGATGCACTGCAGTCTATCCCCAGCTACCCACACTGTCTCTGGTTGGACTGTCTGTGCCCGTGAGAAACCCCCTCGGTTTGGCCATGTTGATGCCTGACACAACAAAAGACCTACCAAAACGCAAACAGCTGTGGTTAAGAAAGAGAGATAAAAATCCGCAGCCAAAAGCCAATTCCCTTCCTCAAAGTCTCTTTGGAGGCGAAGGAAGCTCAGCATGCGGTTTTTTCCATTATGGATGTGATAAGAGTGAGACTGGCGCCTCCCCCAGACCATGCATATATATAGCAGTGTGTGTATATATATGTGTGTGTGTGTGTCCGTGTATATGTGCTATACAGCAGTATGGAAGCATATACAGCCACGCCAAGGGACTCACTGCCGACAGAGGACCAGGCCCGGGCAACATATTGGCTATAACTGCCCTCTCCTGCGATGCTGTAGTCTCCACAAGCCCTCCACTCCTCCCCACCCGCCCATCCCCTCTCTCTGGCTCAAACCTGAACGTGGAAGTGGCGGGTTCCCTCTTTGCTGGTGTCTCCCCCTCCCTCAAGCTGCCCTCTCCCCAGCCCCCAGCCCAATCAGCTCTGAGCCCCCTGGCCTTCCGCCTCCCCAGCCCCCGCCAGATAACCCCCCGTTTCTGTTGCAGATTTTGAGTTCCTGCTCCCCAGCAGCTTTGAGTCTGAAGGACATGTTTTCATTGCTCCCAGGTAGCTTGCGTGTGGCCTTGCTGAGGTGTGCTCCCCACCCCAACTGCCCCGGCCCTGCCTCCCGCACTGCTGCCTGGAGCTGTGTGTGTCTGTGTCCTGTGCAATGTCACCCCCAGCCCCCTGTACATAGCCCGGTATGTGTGGCTGTATGCATACCCAGGCCATGTAGCCGCACCAGGCAGCAGTGGCCAGTGCACAGTCCATCTCCCACCAGGCCTGAGGCAGGAGGCCTCTGGACTCTCTGCTGACCTTCCCTGCCCTCCCAGGCCACCAGGAAGGAGCCACTTCAGTCTTGGGCTGGCTGTCTGCAGCACACCCCTTCACCGGGCAGCTGCTGCTCTGGTTTGTGGTATCCTGCCCATGCCCCCACCTGCACCCCATTGTTGTCCTGTGTTGGTCAGTGTTTGTGTGGGTCTGGGGCTGAGCCAGCCAGAGCCCCTGTCAGTAGTGCCAGGTCCAGGTGTGGTGGCTCACTGAGGGGTGAGGAGGAGTGGGAGGGAGGGGAGGGGCTTTGAGGAGTTGCTCTGGCAAGTGAGGTATCAGGGCAAGAACAGGTCCAGGCTAGACCATCTCTGAAATGCACACTCAGCATACACACGTGGGTCCTCTTGCCCACACCCTCTGCCCTTTGGCCCACATCTGAGGATCTACCCCCTTCCCCAAATGCTCAAGAGCTTGTGACCAAATGAGGGAAGATAGGTGCAGCAAACAGACACAAGGGCACTCTCAGGCACCACACAGGGACTCTGGACACTCCTAAGCTCCATTGTGTATGCACGTGCGTGCATGCACCCACAATTCTGTGACTCTCTCTGTAGATGTGTGTTTGTATTGTGAGTCATCGTATATATGTATCCGAGTATAAGTGTGGGGTGGGCTGTGTGCATTAGTGATAGTGGGAATGTGTGGAAAGGACTATGTGACTCACATGAACCTGAGGAAGCTCTCTGAGGGACGGGATCATGTTTGTCTTTGTCACCTCTGTATCTTTGGCTCTGGAGAGCTCAATCAATGAATGTCAGGTGAGTGAATGAAATGTGGATGTGCATATCATGTCTACCGTGTATCCTGAGCACAGCTATGAAGGCATCATTTTGGGTGTGTCAGGTGTGGCCTCCAGGCACAGAGGCACAGGGTGTACACCACACAAAGGCCCTGAGTGAGTGGGAGCTGAGACCCAGTCCCAGGTGCCCTCACTAAGCTATAGGCCCCAGCACAACCTGGGGGAATGGCACATTTCTTAAATCCCCACAAAGTTGCTGCCATATAGCCTAGTGGTAACAGGAGTGTGAATGAAGGATTGGGCAGGATTGATGGCCTCAGGGTAGAGGTACAGCTTGCTAGAAAGCAAAGCTTCAAGCAGGCCCTGCAATACCCCAACAGCCCTCATGTTTTCTGGACCCAGAGCCTGAGCCCAGCACATGCCTTGAGGAGGTAAGGGATTTGGCCTCCATGGGAAGAGTATTCCAGGCAAAGGGAAAAGCCAGTTTGAGGACCTACAAATTCTCACTGATTTCCTGACACCTCTGCAGAATGATAAGAAAAAGTGATTCTCAGGGACCCTGAATATGTGCCCAAAGGCACACAGCCAGGAAGGGGCAGGATGAGGCACCAAGTACCAGACTCTGGCAGACAAAGGCCAGTTCTGGTACTTGGTGCCACATATGCCCATGGAAATGCTGTAGAGCATACAGGTGAATGAGCCAGCCACCAGATGTGTCCTAAGGCCTCCCAGATGCACTCTCTGGGTCTAGCTACCCAGGAGAGGTGGGAGGCTCTGCAGGACCAAGCCAAGGAGAAAAAAAAACCCTGCCAGGGTGGAGGAAGCAGACTCTCATTCTGGTGTTGGTATTGGCTGCCCCAACTCAGATTTCTCAGCCTGCAGGCATGTAGGAGCCGAAGCCTGTAAGAACACATGTGCCCCTCCCTGAGGTCTGGGCTTCTCAGAGAATGGCCAGACAGGCTTATTGGGAAGCCTTGACCCCATTGCCCTGTTCAGCCCCCAAATCCCACTCTTCTTGCCCCTCCCTACCCCCAGAGAGTATTGCAAGGACCTGAATGCCTCAGACAACAACACTGAGTTCCTGAAAAACTTCATTGAGCTCATGGAGAAAGTGACTCCAGACTCCAAGCAGTGTGAGTGTCTAGTGGCAGGGCAGTTGGATCTGGGAAGTGCCCAGGCAGCATGGGGACAGCCCAGAGGAACCTAGAGATGGGGGAGGTGTGGAAACAGGCCCAAACCCAGGGAAGGGCCTGGGTCAGGGTATAGGGAAGGCTCCTAGTGGAGCCTTGGGAGTAGGGGCAAGGGAGTACAGGAAGCTGCAAGAAGATGCTCCTCTACCCCTACCCTTCTGTTCCCAGGCAACAACTTCCTTCTGCACAACCTGATCTTGGACACAGGCATCACGCAGCAATTGGTGGAACGTGTGTGGAGGGACCAGGATCTCAACACGTATGCACCAGGCTTTAGGGGCAGGATGCTGGGATGGTCCCAGAGGCCCTGCCCTCTCTAGCTGAAGGCAGACCTGTGACCCTACCTCCCCGCCACCCCCAGGTACAGCCTGCTGGCCGTGTTCGCTGCCACTGATGGTGGCATCACGCGTATCTTCCCCAACAAGTAAGTGACCTACCACATTACCCAGCACCCACCTCTGTCTGGGATCTTGCCCTGTGCTACTGCCCAGAGGCTTTCTTGCACTCCTAAGTATGCTGTCCCCCACAAGCCACCCCTTACCCACAAAGCCCTGCTCTCTTACGTGCTCCAGGGCAGCTGAGGATTGGACAGAAAACCCTGAACCCTTCAATGCCAGCTTCTATCGCCGCAGCCTAGATAATCATGGTTATGTCTTCAAGCCCCCACACCAGGATGGTGAGTATCCATCCAGCGTTCCCAGCAGCAGGTGGGAAGCCTCAGCTTCCCTGGCTACTCAGCCACCACAAGGCTTTGTTCTGTGAGCCCCCCTTCAAACCTGACAATGGCTGAGACTGGGACATACATGAAGAGAGGGATAGGCTCTGTCAGACACTATGCTGGGTGCTTAGGCTGGCTCAGGCCTGCGTGAATAGGGCATAGCTTTGAGCGGTCAGTGTGGCTGCCAGCCCCCACACCTGACTGCTCTACCTACACCACCTCAGCCCTATTAAGGCCGTTGGAGCTGGAGAACGACACAGTGGGTGTCCTCGTCAGCACAGCTGTGGAGCTCAGCCTAGGCGGGCGCACACTGAGACCAGCAGGTGAATGCCCAGGACACAGGTGGGGAAGGAGGCAGTAGACAAGGTGTTGCTTAGGCAGGTAGCACTGATGGCCCTTTTCTCTCCCCAACAGTGGTGGGTGTTAAGCTAGACCTAGAGGCTTGGGCTGAGAAGTTCAAGGTACTGGCCAGCAACCGTACCCACCAGGAGCAGCCACAGAAGGTATTTGGGCAAGGGAAGGGGGAGTAAGACCAGAGTCCCCAGGGACCCAAGCTTTCTACTCAAGAGTGGCTTCAGTGCCTATAGGAAGGGGCTGCTGCAGATGTCCTGGGGAACCAGATATATAAGGGTGAAAGGAAAGAGAAATATTGGTGGGTGCCTTACAGTCCTCATTCTCTGCCCAGCAGTGCGGCCCCAGCAGCCACTGTGAGATGGACTGCGAGGTTAACAATGAGGTGCGTGTACCCTGAGGCTGCTGTAGACCCCAGCTTCCCCCACTCCCAGACTTTTTAGTCCCAACTGCAACTTCTAGCCCATCCCTTAGCTTCAGCAACCCTACCCTGACTTAGGATTGAGGAAATGGCATACACACCCCCCACATTCTGAATCACTGAAGTACTAGGGCCTGACGTGAAAGGTCTGAAGCCCAGCCCCTCTCCTTGTTCTTCCCCCTTTCCTACCATTCAGGACCTACTCTGTGTCCTTATTGATGATGGAGGATTCCTGGTGCTGTCAAACCAGAACCATCAGTGGGACCAGGTAAGCGTCAGGAAGAGGATAGAGGAGGGCATAGATGTTTGAGCCTTCTGGGGACATGACACTGCTAGCCCTGTGACGTTGGCTCCCTCTCGGCATCCCCAGGTTGGCAGGTTCTTCAGTGAGGTGGATGCCAACCTGATGTTGGCACTCTACAACAACTCTTTCTACACCCGCAAGGAGTCCTACGACTATCAGGCAGCCTGTGCCCCTCAGCCCCCTGGCAACCTGGGTGCTGCACCTCGTGGTGTCTTTGTGGTGAGCCCTCAGAGGTGCCTGGAGATGGGGGGGTGCTGGGATGCCTGACCCCCACCTCTGATGTCTGAATTAGGGGTGACTTATGGTGAGGGGCAACAACAGCAGCCCATGCCCTTCTTTCCACTGCAGCCAACCATTGCAGACTTCCTTAACTTGGCCTGGTGGACCTCTGCTGCTGCCTGGTGAGTCCTGGGGGCTTGGATATAGAGATGGTGCTCCCTGGCCAAGAGGAGTCTAAAAAGTAATGGGGCAGGTCACTGGCCTCTGATGACCACCCCCACTCAGTGCCTCGTTCCCTGCAGGTCTTTGTTCCAACAGCTTCTCTACGGCCTCATCTACCACAGCTGGTTCCAAGCGGGTAGGTAGGGCTTGGGAGGCACCTCCTCAAAAAAAACGGTCTGCCCCTAGAGCAGACACCCGCTCCACAGGGAGGGCGGGGCTTACGGCTGAGCCAGGTTGAAGCCCACCAGTCAGACACCGTGCCAGGGTCTGTGGGCGGAGCTGAGGCGCTCTGGGCCCCGCAGACCCTGCGGAGGCCGAGGGGAGCCCTGAGACGCGCGAGAGCAGCTGCGTCATGAAACAGACCCAGTACTACTTCGGCACGGTGAACGCCTCCTACAATGCCATCATCGACTGCGGAAACTGCTCCAGGTGCTTGAGGGTGTCCTAGAGATGAGGAACGGGGAGAAGAACCAGGGTGGGGCCGATGGGGCGGGGTGAAGTGGAGGAATGAACCTCCAGACCCCGCCTCTCGATGTTCCCTCCAGGCTGTTTCACGCACAGAGACTGACCAACACCAACCTTCTCTTCGTGGTGGCCGAGAAACCGCTGTGCAGCCAGTGTGAGGCTGGTCGGCTGCTGCAGAAGGAGACGCACTGTATCCTGCCCCCTCCCTCCTCCCCACCGTTCGCATTCCCTCCTGTCCCACGCGCCCCTCTATACCACCGCCGCTGCCTCCTTGACTCCCCACCCATGCCCAGCGGACGGCCCGGAGCAGTGTGAGCTGGTGCAGAGACCACGATACCGAAGAGGCCCGCACATCTGCTTCGACTACAATGCGACAGTGAGCTGGGGGAATGGCAGACCTGACATCGCATCACCCTGCGCCCACCGGGGCCTGGCCGACCAGTTCCTTGTCTCTTCCCGCAGGAAGATACCTCAGACTGTGGCCGTGGAGCCTCCTTCCCGCCATCGCTGGGCATCCTGGTCTCCCTGCAGCTTCTTCTCCTCCTCGGCCTGCCGCCCCGGCCGCAGCTTCAAGTCCACACCCTCGCCGCCTCTCACCGCCTCTGAGCGCCAGCCCTACCCACACCCCCCACCCTGCCCGCCTGCCCCCCCACCCCTGCCCCACACTCCCGCCTTACAGCCTTGCCCCTCCCCCACTTAAGGACTTGAGCTCGCCAGGCTCTAAGAGTCTGTGCCTTGGAGTGGGGGAGTCCCAAAGGAGGGCGCCACAGACTTTGACACCCAGGATATGTCTCACCGCTGAACTGTTCAAGTGTCCCAGACACTGGACTCACCCCAGTGGGCTGGGACAGGGAAGCCACATGTACTGGTGCCAAACCAGGCCTCCCCTGCCTGCCCTGCCTAAAGGCTTCCTTTGTGTAGGCCATCCTGCCTCAGCTGGACCCCTCTAACCAGGCCCTGCTGCCCCACCCAAGCCTAAACCTAGTTTCCCTGGGAATAATGGAGGAAGGTGAGATAACAAGTTTGAGGCCCATGGGCTCCTGCCCCCTTTCAGGCCTACAGTCATCCCCACCCCCCACCCCCCAAGCACTACAGGTGTCAGAACAATCTCACAATGACATCAGTTTAGACACACCCCAGTATACACCTGGAACCCTGAGGGTAGAAACCAGACTCACTAGACAGACCCCAAAGGACACACATAAATGGATACAGAGACACACATACAATGGGGGGCTCACAAAGCCTTACATAGGGTGAGGGGGTACTGGTGGGAGGGTTGGCACAAGCATGCTCCATCTCCTACTCGCCGCCTGCCTCTAATCTGAGCTGCAGCCCAGCTGATCCTCCCATCTTCTAAAGCTGAATGTCAAACAGTGCCAAATGCTGGGGCAGAGGGCAAAGACCTCTCTGTCCCATCCCTAGCCACCAGTGTCCCCCAAGTGCCCCTCACCCTGCCAGGTGCTCATTATAACCATTTCTCACTAGTATCAAACCCACAGCAGGACCACATGCCACTGCCTGCACCCTTCGGCAGAGGAACCCCCACCAGACATCGCCCTTTGCCTTAGCAGGGGTGACTTGGTCTCTCCTGGCTGGGCCATCCCACCCCCAATCTGGCCCTTACACACTCAGGCCTGTGCCCATTCCCATGTCCCTCCCTCTCTCCCTCCCCCGACCCCCCCCTCTCTCTGTCTCTCTCTCTCTCTCACACACGCGAGCACACACACATACTCACACTCCCTGAGCCCAGGAGGCCAAACCGCCCCTCTTCTGCTGAACACACATTTGCACTCACACATATACACACTGTCCACACACAGAGGCTGGGCCTTGGGCACATCTGTTCACACCATTCATTCTGGTCATTTCCCCCAAAGGCATCCCAGTCTGGGGGCCAGTAGGGGACTGAGGGCAGGGGGATGTAGCCACGGGAATCAATGGACTGGGAGGAGGGGGGAGGGTGATGCATTAATTAATGGCTCCATTAATTAATGTCATGTTGCTTGTTGCTTTCTCAGTATGTTTGTATGGTTTGTGCCCACTGCTGGTGCCAGGGTGGGTGTCCATGATGTGTGCCCTGCCTGGATGTCAGCTGTGTCCTGTGGGGGCGCATGTGTAACTGTAGTGTAGTCAGGTGCTCAATGGAGAATATAAAAATGAAACAAACATATACAGAAAAATAAATATATATTTTAAGTTTAAAAAACAGAAAACAGACAAAACAATCCCCATCAGGTAGTTGTCCAGCCCCCAGCTGGGTCTGATCCTTCTCATCACCCACCTGACCTGGCTGTCCCCTCACCTTGGGCTGGGGGACTGGGGGGCCATTTCCTCTCTACCCTTTTTTTTGTTGTTGTTCTATTTTGTACAGACATGTCGGAAAAACAACAGCGACAAAAAGTCAAGAAACTTTGTAAAATATCGTGTGTGTGATTCCTTGTAAAATATTTTCAAATGGTTTATTACAGAAGATCAGTTATTAAATAATGTTCATATTTTCACTTCAAACAGTTTTCATCTACTGTGTCAGCTTTGCGGTGAGGATTGGATAGCTATGAAGACAAGGGGCCATCACCCTGTTCTGCTGGGAGAAGGTCATAGCAATCCAGGTCCCTGGTGGCCATAGGGCATGATGCTTCATGGGCATGGTCCTTCCAGTGACTAATAAGATCCAGGCCCTTGACATACTTTGTCTCATATTATCTCACAAGCCTCCAGAAAAAAAAAAAGCTATTTTTGAAAACTAAATAAATAAATAATCCTCCTAGAGTTTCAAGGCAAGGCCAGAGTCCTGAAGGAATGAAAATAGTAATGAGATGCCAGTTCAGGCTGAAGTCCGGCCACCTAGTCCAGCAACTGGGACCTGACACTCAGGTCCTGCTCCTGGAGCCACACAACCAGAAGTTGGTACTTGCTGGTGTTCAAGGACCACATCCTACTATTCCAGGGAGGCCAAGGTCTGGCTCACTCCCCTATCCTGGCCAGGGGAGGCCAGAAGTCAATTTTTGCAAATTCTCTGACAGACCCTTCACCCTTGTTCATTTTAACCCTAACCTTAGTTTGTGTTACAACTTTATCCTTTTCCCTTTTTTTGGGGGGGGGTACTGGGAATTGAACCTAGGGTGCTCTACCACTTAGCTACATTCCAGCCCTTTTTAATTTTTTTTTTATCTTGAGACAGGGTTTTGCTAAATTGCCCAGGCTAGTCTGAACTTATGATCCTCCTTCCTCAGCCTCTAGAGTACCTAGGATTACAGGCATGTGCCACCGTTGAGAGAATTATAACCACTAGTTCAGAGGTTTTCCAGAGAATGCTGTCAGTGCTCACTCTGCAACATTGACAGGACCAGGGACTCTGCTCACTTACATTTAGCTGGTGGTCATCTGCCACAATCTAAGGGTTGTTACTAGTGAATCCTTCCTGGGGCAGATGAGTATAAAGAGAGATGAAATATTTTCCCTCACAGGATGAAGGTAAAAAATTGGCTAAGGTCTAAGAAAGAAGGTGGTGGCAGGAATGCTAAAGATGAAAGGACATTCAAGTGTCAGCTACAATGGGGCTTTCTTCACTTCTCTGCTGGGATTAGCTACAGAATAACACCTAACCCTCAATCTCAAAAACAGTTCCCATACTTTGAAAGCCCCTCAGATTCTGGGGTAGGATCACCAAATAAAATAGAAAGCTCAGTCAATTTTTATTTTTTAGATAAGTTTCGTAGAGAAATGTGTTTCTCATATTACATGGAACATGCTTATACTAAAAAGTTTATTGTTCATCTTAAATTCAAATTTGACTGAGCACCCTGTATTTTTACTTACTTAGTCTGGCAACTCTCTCCCTGGTGTGTGGCATCCAGTGGAAACCCAGACCTCAAAGATAGAGGGAGTCAACATCCTTTGTAAACTGGAAGGCTATGCACATATTGGGCAGTTGGAACTGAGATTGATGGCTGAAAGGGATTCTTCACTTTATAAAAGTCCTTTGTTATATAATTATTTTAATTTAGAATACATTTTTTAAAAGTAATTAGATATACAACAACAACAAAAGGCAAGAAACAACCTGTCTGAAGTCAAAATGGTGAGAAGTGAGGTCTGACCCTGGCTTGTGGGAAGATCTTTCTAACTCCAGCAATGATCAGAAGACTCTGGAGGAGAGAAGAATCACTAAGGCAGCCCAGCATCACCCTTTTGAGGGAGGAAACCCTGGGTTCACTCCACTTGTAACAAAGGCAATCTGAATATCCAAGGTGGACTGGCATTCTACACTTTTGTCCCCTTTGTTTCTTAGGGTAGGAAGATTCTGTCATCTCCATTTTAAGGTACACGAAACTGATTTTTTAAAAGATTCAAAAATTTTGCCAATGTCACACTGCCGCCAAATGACGGAGCAAGGACTCCGGTCAGGTCCCATTCTTAAACGTTCCAGGGCTTCACACACTATTACACACACCAGAACCATCTAACGTCCTCACCTGCACGACTGCTCACAAGATCACACTATTATGTACAAGCAAATATCATAAACGGAGTCACTCTCCCTGGAAAATTCAGCAAGTGTGTGACCTGAGGCCATGCAGCCTCCTGAACCCCCAACTCTCAGCTTCCCGAGGTTGGCAACGCTCTCTCCTTTATGCACCAAGAACAGGCGGAAACAGCCTTCAGCTATACAATTCCCAGAACACCCTTCTCGATCACGGACAGGACCAGCTAGGCGCACGGTCTCCTGGGACTTGTAGTTCTTCCCAGAAACCTAGTTCCGCTCCTCCAGGACTGTAGCCAAGGACTCCGTATCCCAGCATGCCAAAGAGCCGGAAGACAGGAGCTCAGAAGGCATCCGGCCGCCGCTGCCGCCGGGGGCACGCAAGCGCAGCACCCATGTTTGTCGGCTCCTGAGAAGGGAGGAGGCAGGGCGAGAAGTCAGGACTGAGGCCCAGCTGGAGCTGACCCGACTTGACTCGGACCTGGAACGAGGTGCCCGTCCCACGCGGACCAGAGCCCAGGAGTGGATGGAGGTGCCCCGGTCCTGAGAGCAAGGCTAGTCCAGCCAGCCTGGCGCTGGGCCTACCGGGCAGGCAGGCAGGCGTGCCAAAGCCGCCCAGGACCTTCCTAAAGGTCCGGGGCGAGGGGCCTAGACTCTGGCCAGGCGACAAAGCCCTTTGAGACCGGAGCCCGTCCCGACCGGAAGCGGAGCCTTCACCAGGGCGATAGGCTAGTGACTAGGCCGAGCCCGGGCCTCCCATCGGGGCCGGACTGGAACGAGGCCCCGGGGAGGCCCCTAGCCCACCTTCTCCTCAGGCCAACGCATACCAGGAAAATGCAACGCGCCCTACCTGGTGCCCGCCAGCACCTGGGGGCCATCCTGGCCAGCGCCAGCGTGGTGGTGAAGGCCCTGTGCGCAGCGGTACTTTTCATCTACCTGCTTTCCTTCGCAGTAGACACGGGCTGCCTGGCGGTCACCCCAGGCTACCTCTTTCCTCCCAACTTCTGGATTTGGACTCTGGCCACCCATGGGCTCATGGAGCAGCACGTGTGGGATGTGGCCATCAGCCTGGCCACAGTGGTGGTGGCTGGGCGTTTGCTGGAACCCCTCTGGGGAGCCTTGGAGCTGCTCATCTTCTTCTCGGTAGTGAATGTGTCTGTGGGGCTACTGGGGGCCTTCGCCTACCTCCTCACCTATATGGCTTCCTTCAACTTGGTCTACCTGTTCACAATCCGTATCCACGGCGCTCTGGGCTTCCTAGGTGGTGTCTTGGTGGCACTCAAGCAAACTATGGGGGACTGTGTGGTCCTGCGAGTGCCCCAGGTGCGCGTCAGCGTAGTGCCAATGCTGCTGCTGGCACTGCTGCTACTGCTGCGGCTGGCCACACTGCTCCAGAGCCCAGCGCTGGCTTCCTATGGCTTTGGACTTCTCTCCAGTTGGGTGTATCTTCGCTTCTACCAGCGCCATAGCCGAGGCCGAGGGGACATGGCTGACCACTTTGCTTTTGCCACCTTCTTCCCTGAGATCCTGCAGCCTGTGGTGGGGCTGCTGGCGAACTTGGTGCATGGTCTCCTGGTGAAAGTAAAGATATGCCAGAAGACAGTGAAACGCTATGATGTGGGAGCCCCATCCTCCATCACCATCAGCCTCCCAGGCACAGACCCTCAAGATGCAGAGCGGAGAAGGTACTGTGAAACCTTCCAAAATCTTGGCAAGCTAAGAGAGTACTGCTCAAAGTCACATGCCACCTGTTGAGGTGCTTGCTGTGCATAAGAGACCCACAGTCAGGTGTTGGGGCAGGTTCAGAGAGGAAACCCAGTCTGGCCTTGAGAATTCAGCATATAGATGTCTGGGCTCCAGTGTGTGCTTTTTTCTCACCACTAAGGCCATTTCAGTCTCAAGAAATACCATTTCTTTTGGTTCTGTGTGAGGGGCTAATGGAGGTATGCATCACCCTGGTCTTGCAGAGTCTCTAAATCCTAGACACTGGTACTTGGGAGCCAGAGACAACCTGTTGGTCTTTTTTCCCTGTGGGGGGGGGGCGGTGGGGACCAAGGAAGAAGGCCTGGGGCCCTTAAGAAATAGTCTGGTTACCCCAAGTTTCCAAATACTGAACCATGTCTTCTTCATGAGTCTTAATTCAGATACATGCTTCTCTGCCACTTACTGAGGGAAGCTTAGGGTCTTACCAAATTTAACTTCCAAGCAGGGAGGTGTCACCAAACCCAGGGGACTGGCTATATGACCCACCTTAGAGGCCTGTGTACCACACCAGATAGTGGAGACCTTTGAATTATCTGTAAACTAAGCCATCTGCCGCATTAGGCATCCTGGCTGAATTATTCACTGGCTGCACTTTGGCCAGGACAAGAGAGACTGTTTTTAATTCAGCTCTTAACTCTCCTGGATCTGTGGGCTCCCCAGGGTGGTCCCAGCTTCTATAAGATCCCCAGCTCCATTTACAACATTATTCTTGGGTTTTTTTTTTTGGGGGGGGGGTTGCTTGGGTTTTGGGGGTTTTTTTTGTTTGTTTGTTTTTTTTTTAAGGTAATCGGATAACATGGCTATCCTTTTGCTTTTGTCAAAGGTTCCTGCTTTTGCTCATCTATGAAACAGATTCCTGGCAGGAAGCTCTGTGAATTCAGTGGAAGAGTTATTTATCCTTGAGCTTACTCTCCACTGGGGCAGTACACTTGAGTGTAAAACACACCCCTTCCTTGAAGGAGTTTCTAGCTGGTGGTCCAAGCTGATATGTGTGGAAAAACACTTACAGCATGCTGTGAGGGCCTCATTCAAGGCCCTACAGTCTAGTCTCTATGGGTGATAAGTTAGAGGTGTGTCTTGACCTTATTCAGTGAAGGAGACAAGGCCAGGTGGGCTAGACCTGGGAGGAACTAAGCTGCCCTCAGCTATTCAGGTGGGACCTCTCCTTCAGTGAGAGGTCTTAGATGGTTAGGGTTGGCTGGATGTTCAGAAAACCTGCCCAAGCCAGGTGTGGTGATGCATACCTGTAATCCCAATGACTCAGGAGGTTGAGGCAGGAAGATCACAAGTTCAAGGCCAGCCTTAGCAATTTATGAGACCCTGTCTCAAGAAAAAAAAAAAAACCTGCCCAAGGAAATGGACCAGAGAGTGGATGAAGATAGGGCAAGAGGTAAGTTCTTGGTATAGCCTTAAGTAGTATAGGTGGGGGTTATTCCTCCAACCAGTTTGTTATCTGACTGTAAGCCACACTCAGACCCAAAGGGCTACTAAGTAGAAGGCAGGGTTTCCCATCTTTTTTTTTTTTTCCCTTTTTAGTTGTTGATGGACCTATTTATTTACTTATTTATATGCAGTGCCTCACACATGCAAATGCTTGCCTGAGCTATAACCCCAGCCCCCATCAAAGAGACATCTTTGACCCTTGTGAAGAAGTGACTAGCATGACACTATCTCTGGGCCTTGGCCGACTTTAGACAGAACTGACAAGGCCATCTCTGAGAAGGGAGCCTTGGCAGTATCATTGAAGAACTGTCCCATCAATGCAAATTTGCCATGTGCCAGGTTGGAGGGCAGGGGGGAAAGTATACTGGGTTTTCTGTGCTCATGTCCTTGTTGCTTCTCCTTATCCTTGGCATGGTGCAGGTTTTGGTTCTCTGCAGGAACTTGACAGGTTACACAGACTGTCCCCACATTGGTGGCACAGAGAAGCTGAAGCATCAGGGGTGGGCAATGGCCTTGTTGGATGTGTTGCCTGGCAGCATTGTTACTCTGCCCTCTGGTGGCCTAGGGCTCATGTGAATACCTTCTAGTAGACTTTCCCATCTCCCCCAAAGTGGTGCCTCCAAGGATCTGCCCCATGAAAACAGGCTCTGGCCTGTGCCCTACCCACATGGGCTTTTCTCTTCTTCACCTCTTGCAAGGACTCTGCTAAAAGCCTATTCTAACACAGGTCTTAGTGGTTTGGGGGATTCTCTAAAAATGAAAACATCAGAGTTAAGCGGGGTGTACTGATCCAAGTTGACTCTGCTTCCTGGGCTGAGCTAAGGGAGGTACTGAATTCCAGTCTTTCCCAGAGACCCTTGCCAGGAGGCTTCAGATACCCCTATCCGGGAAAGGGAGAATTAATGAACCTGTCCTTGGATGTGTATAAGTGCCCAAGCAGGTACCCATCTCCAGGGACTTGCCATTCCACCCATCTGCCCTAGATCATTAGATTTGCCCACTCTCATGCATCAAATTCAGAACTATTCCTGGTGGCTGGCCATGGACAGCCTGGTGGTCAGTCTGGCAGACATCCAACTGGCCTTCTCATCCTGGAGGCGCCCTGAGCTAAAGGAAAGACTCCAGAGCCTTCTGGTCCTCATTCTGATGGCAGCATGGGCTGAAATTCAGTCTCAGGGGAGTTCTGGGTGCTGCATGGAGAATGGATTCTAGGGGAGGAATCTATGTGGTAGGGAGAGAGGGCAGATTACAGAGGAAGGGTGCAGGATATGTGCTAAGAGAAACCCAGAGTGACCTGTCCTCTCTCCTCTGGCCCCAGGCAACTGGCTCTGAAGGCCCTCAATGAGCGGCTGAAGAGAGTGGAGGACCAGTCCACCTGGCCCAGCATGGATGATGATGAAGAAGAATCTGGGGCTAAAGTGGACAGCCCCCTGCTCTCAGAAAAGGCTCCCACATCCCCAGGAAAGGGGGCTACTCCTGAATCCAGCCTTATCACCTTCGAGGCAGCTCCCCCCAAACTGTAACTCCAGACCACCTTGAGTGTAGCCCCTCCTCTCCCAAGCCCTCAATGATGCCTCTCAGCTACCCCAGGGCATTGACTGCTCTAAGAGGGAAGAAGGCCTGCTGGAGCCTTCCATGGCCACTTGCTGTCTCTCACCAACACTACCCAGGACCCTTGCTACCTGGTTCTGACTCCAGATAACCACTATCCTGGGCATAGGACCTCTGAGGCATCGGCCAATCCAGAACTCCATCTGAGGTGAGACTATACCTCAGCCCCAAGTGACTACAGGAACGCTGGTGCCACAGCTCCTGGGCTGGCCCTCACATCTGAAACTGGTTGCCAAGAGCCCTGAGCCCTGTCAAGGCAAGGATTTGCATTTGCCAAAAATGTTCTGGGGGCCCAGCCAGTGCAGGAGCCAACACAAGGCTGTACATCCCTGCCTACCCCCAGGAAGACTGTGTTCATGTCAGGATTTCTTGTTTCCCTCTGCTGTGGCCATGACTGCTTCTGGGCCAGAACAGCCACAGCTCCCAGGTATTTTCTACAGGACCACTTGAGTGGGCAACCAAGCCCAGCCTCACAGTATCAATAAAGCAGTTCTTTGAGGTATGACTCCTGCACTTTGTCAAGCTACCTTGTACAGCCTCACATGCTCAACTTAGATAGTCTTTACTCTGGATCCAAGGGCTCTCCATAGCAACTCCAGCTGGATAAAAAGCCCACTGCCCCAGTATACCTTCCTTCCACCACTATATGCCTACTGCCAAGTGGCCTTCCTAGAGCCATTGCCTCAGAGCCTTATTCTTTTTCCTCTCTCTAGTCCCCATTTAGGAGGCCCTCTGCCCCTACCCAGAGGATCTGACAGTTGAGGTTCTCTCCATCATGAGTTGTTCTTGCCCATGACAGAGTATTCTGCTCTTGACACCTATGGAGATAGCCCATTCCCAGCTCCCATCCTGTCGGTCTGTATCTAGCCCCCATAGTGTGGATGTTCCAGGAGTCAGAAGCTGGGAGATGGGTAGGATACATAGCTGTACTATTCACAACATGGGAGGCTCAGCAGCCATATCCTAGGGACTTGTGTGCTAGGAGAACTTCTACCATTCAGAGAGGGCCCCCACCTTGCTAAGCTGCCTACTTAAAGCTGACAGCATTAGTTAGAACCACCTCCAACTCTAAGCTGCTCCTCCCATCAGTCTTTTCAGTCATTTTTATTCACTTTTTTCTCTCCAGTAATTAAACCAGTACAATTATAAGCTGCATTGTTGTGGAGGCAGTCTTGCAATCCCAGCTTCATCCAGACACATGATCCATATGCTCCTCTGGGATGCAGCAAAAGGAGAAGGACAGAGGAGGCACTCTAGCACGAAGAGCAAAAATGTCACATATGGGTCTCCTACTGCTCCAGTGCCTGAAGTATCCCCTGACCCAATCAGCTTAAAGAGTTCAGGAGGTCCCCAGCCCCAGAATGCTGAGAGGCAAATCCAGGCTTCCCTTGGCTAGGAAGAGTTCATGGTTGGATCCTCTTGCGATATAGGTAGGCATTGCTCACCTGATTCATAATGACCAAGCTGGTAAGGACAGGGCATAGCACAGCCAGGTACCAGGCTCCACCAGTGACAGTGGCAGTGAACCAGAGTGAGCACATGCCCAACAAGAGGCTGGTACTACCCAGCAGGTAGCCCACCAGCCCAGAAGTGGCATGGTATAGCTTGAGCTTTGCCAGGGGCCATCGGGGCAGCAGCTTGGGGTAAAGCAGCCCCACCCCACCTGAGCACTGCAGCCCTGCCCATAGCACGGCTAGCAGTCCTGCCTGTCCGTGCCGTGTAGCCAAGTGGGCTTTGCCAAGCTGCTCTTTGTGGAGGATGACAAGACCAAGGCCCAGCAGTGCAAACAGTAGAGCCAGCAGCTGCAGCACCCAGTGGCAGCGTGCCCGGCCCTTCCGTGACAGGGAGCGCAGCAACGAACTCTCAGGAGAGAACACCAATAGTGCCTCGGTCATCAGGAAGGAGAACTGAGGAGACGGAGAAGGAAACTCAAGTGAGGGTGCTGTCCCAGCAAAAAATAAATAAGAGGGCTTTAGATGATCCTCTTAGTTGTCAGTGCACCTGAGCTGATTCCCCTTCTTAATTTTCTCCCCAGCAAAACTACCCATTTAGTGGGGCATAACATCTTCCTTAAATAGTCAGTGACAGATACCTCTTCACACATCTTCCTAGATGCTATTCTGAAATGTCATCTCTGTTGTTACCTAGCAAACAAGGTCTGAGATGTAGCACTTATAAATGATTCAAAACCTTTGTTTCTCTCCCATGGGGATGTATGGATACAATTTCTTGGCAAGAGCTGACCACATGGGTGCACTGTTTCAGGGAAAATAAGATGCATATCACCACAAACTTAAGGTAAAAAGGATCATCCAAATGCAATTTCTCAGCTTCCTGCCTGGAGATGGGAGAAGTCTCATTTGTGTTTAAACCTTCCCATTGGGCTGGGGATGTGGCTCAAGCGGTAGCGCGCTCGCCTGGCATGCGTGCGGCCCGAGTTCGATCCTCAGCACCACATAAAAAATGAATAAATAAAATAAAGGTATTGTGTCCAACTAAAACTAAAAAAAAATTTAAACTGACAAAATTGTATTTTTATAGACAACACACTCATGTATTAATACATTTTCTGTTACTATAATGAATTCCCTGACTATGGGTACTGTATAATGAAATGAAGTCTGTTTAGCTCACAAATTTGGAGTTTTGAAGTTCAAATCACATTATACTGGTTCTGGTGAGGGCTCTCTTAACTGAATCGCATTGCGGTAGATGACATCATGGCCAGACCATATGTGAGAGAAAGATATCACATAGTGAGATAGGAAGACAGGGTGCAGGGAAAGGCCTTTACCTAGGCCTCAATTCTTAGATCTCACTACCTTGTAGCATTTCCACTCTGGGGACAAAGCTTCCAATACATCAACCTTTGGGAAACAAACATCCAGCTATAGACCTCTTACCCTGGATTTCAAGGTTCATGTTCTACTCACCATGCAAAGTATTTTCATTCCATCTCCAACAGTCCTGAAGTGTTAACTTGTACTGACATTACTCAAAACTTCAAGTTCAATATCTCATCTGAGATACAGGCAAAGTCTTTCAGCTGTGAACCCCTGAAAAATGAAACAAAAATTTCTACATTTCTGAGATAGAGTGCCAGGGCAAGGATACAGTAAACATTCCTGTCACAAAAGGGATAAATAGGAAAGAGAAAAGTAGTAATCTGTCAAAAGCTAGACCTTAAATCTTAAGGTTTCAAATCTGGCATACTGAGCATACAGCCCCCTAGGCCTCTGGCAGCCCTATCTCTATGGCTTTTCTGGTTATAGGCCACATGGTTGCTCTGAAACTGGTACTTGGGAAAGACTTCTGGCATGCTGCAAATTGCCAAGTCATGTTGCAGATTGCTCTACCTTTCTGCAGTCAGTTCTATAGCTCAATTACTACAGGTCCTTTAGTCATTCCCCAATGGACAATCTCTGCAAGGACTCTGATCCTATTTTAAAATTCTGCCTAGCTTCCTAGGCTCTTCTTTGAAATCTTGATGGAAGCTTCCATGACCCTATAACTCACATTCTGCAAAATGAGGACAATGTGGACAAGGAGGTCTGCTGTCAGTACCAGCTGCACTTGAGCCTGTTTGAAACATGGCTATAGCACCTGTCAAAGCATTTTACCAGAAAACAAGAATCCTGAGGTGGCCCTGGTCATTAAGCCCCTGGAGAGTGCCCAAAGCATGGTCCATGAAACAGTTCTGCCACAGAAAGCTTCTGCGATTGTGATGGAAAAAGAAGCCTGGAAAGTTTCTGGGATGCCCTTGAGGAATTTTTCTAACTATCCTGAGTATTAACCTCTGTGCTGATCCTTTTAGCAAGTGGTTACAGAGCTATACCTTTCTATAGTGGTTGTTACCCTTTTCTCCCCAACACACATTTGTTCCAGACTACAGATTTTCCAAACCTTTCTGCTCCACTTCTTTTTTTGGTCCTGAGTCTTGTTGTAATTTTGACAACAAGAAAATCCAAAGAAAATCCATGCAGCAGCCTGAATTCTTTGTTGCTAAGAATTTTTTTCCACAAACAAAGTACTCTTTCATTCCTAAATGTGGCCTTCGATGAAGTTCCAGGGCATCGACATAATTCAGTCAAGTTATTTGTACCAGTAATAGGATTGTCTGTATTCTAATTTTCAATAGGATCATCATTACCATCTGATACTGGTTTTCTAGTCTTGTTATCATCTGAGCCCTCATCATCAGTACCTGTAATTCTCCACTTAAAACACTCTATGCTTTTTTTTTATTAGCCTATAACTCCAAATTCTTCTGGCCTCATCCAAAACATAGAACATACATTATGGAATAGCTAGCTAATTGACATATACATTACCGCACAAAGTTATCATTTTTTTTTGTAGTAAATATTTTAAATCTACTCTGTTAGCATTTTTTTATCTTAAGTTGTTGTCAGCCATTTCCAAAGCTGTTTCCACATTTTCAGGTAGTTATAGTAATGATCCAATTTCTCACTACAAATTTTCTATATTAATCTATATTTTATTACTATAATAATATTCCTAAGGGTGGGGGATTTGTAAAGGGAATATGTTATTTAGCTCACAATTCCTGAGGGTAAACGTCCAAAGTACATAGTGCTAGCTCTGGTGAGGGCCACCTGACTGCATCTTATCCTGGTGAATAGCATCATAATCAGATCATATGGAAGAAGAAGAGACCACATGGAGAGGAGCTAGTAATGACCTCCTATTAGTATTGACCTCTTAAAGTTCCAATAATCTCTCAGTATCACTACACTGTGGATCAAGCTTCCAATACATGAACAATTAAGGAAAAAACCCAAACCCAAACCATAAGATTATAAACTGTTGAATGGCTAAATCTAGCTATTTGACATACATAATTATCTAGCAAAGTTGTTAATTTTGTATTGAGAACATTTGAAACTACTGTCTTAGCATTGTTATATCCTTAATCTTCAGGGTTTTTTTTTAAATTCTTATTATTGGTGTTATTTTCTAATTGACTTTTCCACTTGGACCACAGTATTAATTCAAGTACAAAAGGATGCATTAGTGATTGTACAGAATCTATTTTGGTGTAAATAAGACATCTATCTTCTATAGCAACCATGAGTTGGATATTGAGACTTATCAGAATGCTTTCCAGTGTAAAGGCGTGGTTCTCTTAAATATTTGATGGCCTCATATATTAATCCCAAAACAAATTACAAATTGGCATGTATTAATCAGAGGATAAGTTAATTCCTGTGTTTCACACAAGAAGTCCAGTTCTTGGGTACACATGATGTTTATGAAAAAAAAAATGCTTTTAAATCTTTTTTAGCTGTTAATGGACCTTTATTTTATTTATTTATTTTTTATATGGTGCTGAGAATCTAACCCAGTGTCTCACACATACTAGGCAAGCACTTTACCACTGAGCCATAACCCCAACTTTAAAGAAAATGCTTTTTAACAGTTGGGGCCCAACCAGCAGCATTTACCATCAGTCAAAGGGTGGAGATTTAAGTCCAAAATATGGCCTCAAATAATATGGTAAATCTTAACATTCTGTATTCAGTTGAATAATTAAATATATTTCTTGTTTTCAGAGAGATTGATTGAAGGCAGTCAGCTAGATCTGTGTTGTTCATTCATTATTATCAAAGTAGCATTCATCAAGCCCATGGAACAACTGAGATGGGAGGTGAGAATGAGAAAACACCTGAAGATTATGCATGGGAGGTTCAGGAGTTACAGCCATCTCCTTTTGTTTCTGATGGACTTCTCAGTAATGTTAAGGGGGAAATAACGCTTCATTAATCTATCTAACTAGTATGGGAAGAAAACCTAGTAGTCAGTTGAGTTTAAAGTACTGAAGTAGTATAGGAGAGCCATACTAGGGCATTTACATTCATAAGAAAGTTTTTAGCGTGGTTCTGAAAGACAAAGATTTACTGATGTCCCCAATTTTCCTGAATCTCTAAGGATATAAAGTATTTCTTCTCAGCTTTTACAAAATTGATGTATTCCCTTCCAATAGTCAAATTTCACATTTTTTTCAAATAATCTTGTATTTACACCTAGATCTCTCATAGGAAAAAGTCAGGCACAATAGGGACAATGGTGTTTATTTTTTTTTAATTTAATGAGAATTAGGTTTAAATTCTCCAGTGTTCCTTTAAGACAGGATATCACCTTCAGAGAATATCACCCAGGTCAAATTAGCATTACTGGTGGGGGAAAGAATGATACATAATGCTCAGAGCACAGAGAAGGGTCATGAATCTAAATTTTCAAAAAAGAACATTATATCCACTCCCACTCCCTTTGTACTCATCATTATTCAGAAAGCTACTGAGAGAAAATGATTATTTTCTGGATAAAAAGAAATTTACTGATGAAATTACCTTTCTAAGGTGTGTAGATCAGAAGATAAAAAAAAATAGTGTGAGACATCTTTTTGAGATAATTTTAAGAACATAAACAATAACAGATACTCATGGCTGAGTATAAGATGTTCATAAAATATCATGACTGCTAACATACTGTTGAAATACTTCTGTGATAAAAGATATATGTGTGATCTGAATCACTTAACCAGATTGGAATAAAAAATTCTGTAATCCAAAAGCATAAACTTCAGTGAGGAAACATCCTTAAACTTTCAAAGCGTTGAAAGGTCAAATATAGTCATTCTGTCATGGAAATGGGACCTATGCTACGTGGATTCTCCTACCATGAGATAATCAGATAGTCTTTTTGTCATAGATTACACGTTCGGCAGTTACTTTCCTCTGCATCAGGAAGGTAGAGGCTTTTACTTTGTGCTCAGTTTATTATAGGGGAAGTGGCACAGTGACAGATCCAGATAGTATTGATGGCAATCTGATCAGCACAGACTGAACAGCAGCTTTGTTTCAATCAGTATTATCAGAGAAAAGACCCTCATGTGGCTTCTACATGTTCAGTAGCCACAACTGGTTTCCACTGGTTTCCATAGCTTGCAGACTCAAAGAAGGAAATCTTAAATTAGCTAGTATCAGTTTTCAAAGTAACAACTGTGATATTTAGCTATATGTTACTGTGACCAAAAAATCAAACTTTATTAGAGGAAAAAAAGGTTATTTTTGACTCACAGTTTTACAGGTTCAGTCCATGGTCTGTTGACTCCACTGCTCTGAGCCCAAAATGAAGCAGAACATTATGGCAAAAGGCTGTGTGGTAGGGAAGCAACTCAAGAAATGGTGGCCAGGAAGAAGACAGAGAAATAGGAAGGGCCTCATTGAAGGTTAACCCTTCTATGGCATGCCCCCAGCAAGTCATTTCCTCTACCCAGGCCCACATGCCTATATTTACCCAGTCAATCCATTCAAACTTGGATGAGCTAATTAGGTTACAGCTCTTATAATTTAATCACTTAACCTACTGCATTAACACAGGAGCTTTTGAGGGACACATGATATCCAAACCATAGCAACTAAAGATCTAGGTCATTGTTCAGAGCAATAATACAAAAAAGCTCATCAAGAAAAGTATAGGACAGAAGTCTAAGAATGAGTTTGAGTTCTATACTTTAAGAAATATGACCATGTCCATTTTTATTTTTTTATAGCTATAGGTGTGGTTGAAAAGGTTCCACAGACCAGCGCACACCGTTGGTTTCAGATTAGCCTATCAGTGAACCAGGAACAGTCATTTAAGGAAATATCTGTCACTTGAGGGCCCCATTAAATGAGTAGCTTTGTTTCAGGTAGCAGAATAGTCAATAAATTTTACACTAAATGTATTGCTGCCAATTTTTCATATGAAACCAAAATAATACTGGGGTCAGGATGGCTGCATTATTGAATAGGTTATTTTCATGTAAAATGTAAATCATGTTAAATCTTTCCCTCATTATTAATCTTGAGTCTGATTGAACCACCTTGTAATAGAAATATCAGGCTAAGAGTTACAGGGAGTCTGAGTCAGGTGTCCATTTCCACATCACACAATGGCACCTAATTTACAGGAATTATAAACCCAAAGTCCTTAAGGGTGCCTTCAGGTAGGGGTTGCCTCCCTTTTCCAGACAGTCTAATAAAAAAAATAGTCACAGAGATTTGTATCTCAAAGGTTTCAGTAAGATTTTGGGCCCTAAACAAACTAACACTTCTGTATACGAGGCTTCTTTCCAGTGGGATGAGCCCCATTGATATAAATAGATTAGGAAGCATGAATAAGCATATAACATTAATTTCCATTATGCATTCACACAAAGAAGTAATAGGAATATTTTATGAGACAAAAGCAATGTTTATTTTTATTTCCCTAAAAAAAAAAAACAGTACAAATTCCATCTGTTTGATATGATTCCAATGGGATCAGGTAGGGTGGTGATTTTTGTACTTGTATCTAACAAAATAATCAAAGTTTCAAAGCTTTCAACTTTTTAATGCTTTCTAAAATTCTAATTTTGTTGCATATAACTCTTGGTCCACCTTGAGAACAAGTTTCATACCTAGTCATCTGTGTACTTAAAGTACTGAGGTTATAGTAAAAAATGGGAGGACAAAGAAACAGGGAACAGAGAATGGCTCCATTCCTATAAGACATTGTCAGATTTGATAAGACTGGCAGCTGTTCATAGTATAATTAATGAACTTTGTGTTTTAGATAAATCACAATTTTTATATTGTCTTGTTATATTATCCTGTTTATATCACCATTAATTTCATCTTTGGGGACAACTTCACTTAGTTGTTCCAGTCACATTGCCTTTTAGTTGGATCCTAGGGTTTACTTTTCTATTGTCATATTATTTCCTTGTCCTTCCTAGAGAAGAGTAGAATCAATCAAACACCATTTAAGCAGTTTGTTTCAATCCTATTGCTCAGCCTATAAATATAACAGGTATGACAGTGGCCCTTTACTTCTTGCCCTGCCCCATCACATTTACAGTTCATTCCATATACCTAAATGGCTTGCAAGACTCTTATCTTTTCTCTTCTAGAAAGACATGTCTCTGTCAGCATCCTATCCCCATTATCACAGACTGTCAAAATTTGAAGGGATCAGAGATTTCATTCTACCAACCAACTAAAAAGTTAGCCTACTGTAGTTTCATGTGTGATGGTTGCAAACACAAGACTTGTGGATCAGACAGAGGATGTTATTGATAGCAAAACAAGCAGAATGAGCTTCATGTTTTTCTGATAACCCTGACCCATGTCCCACAGGGATAACAGAGAGTGGCACAAGTGAGTGTTGTACACAGGGATTTGTGACAAACCCAAAGAAGTTCATGTTCAGGGAAGTATAATCTTTTAAAATGGCTGTAAAAAAAATCTGCTTAGAGTTTATATTGAAAGGAGACATTATTTATACTATTTTGGACAGTGAAGAAAACTTATCCTTCGTTCTAGAAAGAGATATTATCAATATCTTTACTAGTTGTGTGATAAACATCCTTGAACCATAGCTTAGAATAAAATGACAGTTACTGTCTCTGTTCCACAGAAACTTGAGATCCAAGGTATATTAGTCCATTTTCCATTGCTTTAACAAAATACCTGAAGCTGGGAAATATATAAAGCAAGAAGGCTATTTCAATGTATAATAAGTATTTTGTTGAGAAAACTATGAAAAGTTGCAACTTTAGAAGTCAGTTTAAATTTGAAGCAATATAGCAGATATGATGCAAATACCTGTTGAATGTTTTTGTTTTTCTTCTTAAAAACATAGGGAAATCCATGTCTTCCTGATTGGAAAAGTTGTGTGTATGTGTATATTACACAAATAATTTGGGTTCTTTATTGGGTTGTATTATAAAATTTTGAGATTTGTGTTATCTAATATGTATACAAATTATTTTCATCATTTTATTGGTGCATTATACTTGCATATATTGATGGATCTGTTGTTACATATTTTTTTATTATTAATTGTTCAAGACATTACATAGCTCTTTACATATCATATTTCATACATTTGATTCAAGTGGGTTAAGAACTCCCATTTTTTCCCTGTATACAGATTGCAGAATCACATCCTTTACACATCCACATTTTTACATACTGCCATACTAGTGTCTGTTGTATTCTGCTACCTTTCCTATTCCCTACTATCCCCCCTCCCCTCCCCTCCCATCTTCTCTCTCTACCCCATCTACTGTAGTTCATTTCTCTTCCTTGCTTTTTTTCCCCTTTCCCCTCACTTCCTCTTATATGTAATTTTGTATAATGATGGTGGTCTCCTTCAATTTCCATGCAATTTCCCTTCTCTCTCCCTTTCATTTGTACATGCACACATTATAACAATATAACTTGGCTAATATCACTCCCCAGTGAATATAAATCTTTTCTCCTCTACAAATATTCTGTTCAGGTGTATGATCTTTACATTAAAATTGATGTATTTGTATAAACATTACATAATATAAACATATATAAAGTCAGCACACTGTATCTCATTAATATGTACATTTTGTGTGTTTTTACATAAATTTAAAAACTCAATGCAATTAAACAGAAAAAAGCAATGTTTTCAGAATAAAAAGATAGGAAAGCATGCTGTATAGTACAAAATAAATTCCAATTTTGTAATAACTTTTTATGACAAGTTTGTAAATTTACACCATTAGTGATTTCTTAAAGAAATTATCTTATATTTGATCCTTCATGCATCAATGTTCAGACATAAAGCTTTTAGGAAATGATTGTTCACGTGGGCTCTAACCTCATTGATGAATTAATTAACTGAGGATTCAGAGTGAATCCTTCTCCTTGTCCTCCTCCTCCTCCTCC